CTCACCACGTGATCAGGGTTACGACCTTGGGATGAATTAATAAATTATTTTGCATTTTTAGAAAAGATTTGTTTTCTTGAATATTATTTTTTTTAAATATCCTGTACATGGTACTTTTGGATTGCACTGGGCATTTATTTTATTACTTTCTAAAACTTTTTATTTTCGCCTTTCCGACCACGCGATCTCCTAGCAACCACGCCCCATGAGCGCATCGAGTTACTGCTTACAACTGTCAAGAACTTTGCAATTTCGCTTGTCTTCAATATGAGCAACAAAACATTTTCATGTGAAGCCTAATTTGACGAAGAATTGTTCGAGATAATCAGGGAGCCTTAAGTAATTTCGATTATGACATTGGTGACTTTATCGTGGAGAAAGTTCCAATTCAAGATGACATCATTCCGATTCACAACTCGAATCGACAAGATGGCGCCTCTCTTCCCGCCCTTGCAAGTGCAACAGAAACTTTGATAAATTCAGTGCCGATTCTTGGGATTAGTGAATCAGTGTCACAGCTAGATTTCATTGTGGAACCAGATGAAGCCGAATATGTATGTTCACATTTCTTTTGTCAACCATGCGTGACACGGCACAGGCAATCGCAGTTAGGGAATGGTGCGGCCACCATGTTGCAGAAATTCGTCGATTCGAACACATTGCTTCTGGACTGAGCTAAATAAACGAAATGTTTGGAGAGATCGTAGATACTTGGACTTGAAGAAACGGAAATAAACGTTGCAGCAGATGAAGGATCGGTGTGGACAAAACGGGAAAGGGATCCCAGATTATATTTTAAAACTTGTGCGCGAAGTGTATCCAAATACCCCGAACAAAAAATACATGGGACAAGTGTGGATCTAATGATCAAACTCAGTTTTGTGTGTGAAAATTCTGTGATAGAAAAGGAAATTCATAATTAAAGTTGTCTTGGAATATGTGTATTGGAGTTTTCGTTTATCGTAAGTACAATATTATCTGGATACGCCTTCAGTAGGTCAAAACATCAAGTATATTTCGTTACTTATTTACCAGACCAGTTGCTTATGTGCATTGTTATGTTGATACACGTGACATATTCATCTATTGTAGTCAAGCTGAGAAATATTGGCGCAACTTCTGGTGCTTCAAATTAGGCCCCTTTCTAAACACGTTGAAAAATCTGTGTAATAATTTAGGTTTTATAAATATAAACTGATTATTGTGTGGCACAAATCTAACTGTTGAATGCAAATGACCAAAACTAAACAAATATCTGTAATTTTCGGATTGAACTCAAAGAATCGCGTCGTCAATTTCGTATTTAAACATCGTTACTGTTACATTAACCGAAACTGATGTTCTGCCGTAAAAAATATGCAACACAATTCACTTTGACCACAAATGCATTGAATGTGTCACATGTACACATGACCATGTGCTTTGCTATTTATAGCGCAACCGTAAATAAGCTCCGCCCACTGTGATTGATGCAGACGCCAAACACGATCGATACGATTTTTTATGATAAAACTACAGAAAATCTATTGACTTATATCTTGATATGGAGCCATTTGTTGTATCCATGATTTGTCATTCAAGTTGATACGAAGTTTGACGGTCAATGGTGATCTGGTTCCCTTATGGTTTTCAAAAAACGTCTCCCGACACTCGGTTGTGTTTACATTGTCAGTCATTGTTCGAAACTGAAACACCGCCACCTTGCGGGCTATTTATAGTCAGGGTGGGGCTTTAAGAACATATGGCATGTCTCTCAAACCTTATCTCTGATACTTTTCTGGTTATTTAGCTATGGTCTTGCAATGATAAATTTTGGGTTTTTTTCATTCTTTCACTTTATTTTGAAGAAATGATATGAAAATGACAAAAATAATTATAGGAACATTAAGAAAACAAATAAACAACAAGGAGGACAAACAGACAATACAACACACATGCTTGCAGCAAAACTACAGACCTCAGCTAAACAGAAATCGGAAAGGGGAACCAAAATTTAGCAATTATCAAAAATAACTGACTGATGACATATAAATCATTTCAGCCAAATTTATCTATTTTGTTTAAAGACTTCTTTTTTTTCAGTAATATATCATTTCCTTACAATCTGTTACTTTTACACAAGAAAACATACAGGTGAACACGGAAATGTACTTTCACTGCCAAGCTGAGACACAGTTATCTCCCTTTGACTAGCACATCTACTGACCACCAGTACAAAACACATAACACACGACAAGGTTACCTGAATTTCCTGCAGGCAAAAGCAAAGTGAATTTTTTAGTCAATTTATGAAAGCAAAAACTCAGTTTGCACCTGTTTCAATAGTCTTCTCAAAGGCAACAGTGTCTGTGATGACCAGTTTTGGAGATGTGTGTTAAACAAATCTTGTGTCATTGAAAGTAAAAGAGTTAAATGAGTATTATCACTTATATCTACCTATATCTGATGGTCTTGTAGAGCCTATTCAATCAACTTGCCCACTTGTGACGATTAACTGAGACTGCTGGCACTTGTCCAAGTCTGAGTGAGTGAGTGAGTGAGTTTGAACAGTATTTCAGTTATATCATGGATTGTCAGCATAATGTCGGAGCTTAGGCCAAAGTAACAAAAGTCATGTTGACATAAAACCTGAATCATTGGTTGTTTGTTTGTTTGTTTGTTTGTTTGTTGTTTAAAGCCACACAGCATATAATTCCAGCTATATGATGGCAGTCTGGAAATAAGTTCTGGAAATAAGTCTGGATCATGTGGACATAAAAGCTGAATCATGGTTTTGGGTTTTTTCTTTGTTTGTTGTTTAAAGCCACACTCAGCATAATTCCATATATATGATGGCAGTCTCTAAATAAGTCTGGATCAGACGATCGAGTGATTGTCATCACAAGCGTCAATATACGCAGTTCAGATATGATGACACGCATCAACCAAGTCAGCAACTCTGACCTACCGATCCTGTCAGGTGGCATCAGTCTGGTGCTGACAGACCAAGATCACATATGCCCTGTTATGGTGCTGCGTTTCGGTTTGATTCAGGAGAACATGGAGTTTACGAAAACATCACATAAAAACACAATGATGTAGCAATAAAGCCCAAAATGTACAGACTTGAACAATCTGCGATAAGGATGTTAATGGCATCCTTCACTGACAGTACTGGGGGCACGGCTGGCCCTGTCATCTAAGGCGCTGCAATGCGCTGTGCAGAGTTGCATCCCTTGGGCACTCCAAAAACTTATGATTGTGGGTTCGAATCCCTGTTCACCCCAAATATGTTTCTAGGTTTGTCAGCCCCATACCCGTGCTCATGTGTTTCACCAAAGGGGTAAACATCTGAGACCTGCATCACATCGTGCTTTCCTCCCACATTAAGCTGACACACAATGATATAACTGGAATACTGTTCAATATGGCGTCAAACCCAACTCACTCACTCACTGACAGTACTTGTCTTAGTTGTCATGTCTATCAGCAGGATAAGGATTTCAGTGACTGGTTGAATGTCAGTATTACTAGATCACAGATACTGTTGCCTTTGAGTGTAGAGAGGATATAACATATATCATATATGGAAGTTATGATGCATGCTTGATTAATGCATGGAATATGCATGTATTACATGCAACTGGAGGGAATAGATTGGAGGTGAACTTGTAGTCTGGATGATAATCGAAACTAATGCAATATCCTACAAAAAATAAGATCTATTGACATAGATGTATTCCAAGTCTTAGACATTTTAATCCAGGAGTGCAACACATACCAGGAATCTCCTCTGCAACTTAAAAATTATTTCACATATATGAAAATATCTTTCTTCCAAAATGACCCAATACAGAGAAGTTAAGTTTGAGTTTTTACAACCAAGAAAATTAATAAAGATTATGACAATGATGTTCAATTGTTCATATTCGGTGGCAATGGCTACATGGAAATGTTAGAAATAGACTCAAAAAGCAAGTTTTATAAATGTGAGTATATTTGACATATTTGCACTATCTCTCCACCTAGAACCTCCAAGTTCTGACGTAAATGACCATAAATACAAGTGAATGAGTCGTAAATCCAACCAACACACACGCTCAGACATGCAGTGAATAGTGTATATGTGCAACGCAAAATCAGGTCATGTGTGAAGAAAAGACGTTTTGTTTCTACTGCATAACAGGATATTGGCTGAGAAATCCCATCATAGCCGCTGAAATATACCTTTTGTTTCCCACACTGCAGTTTCCAACAGTGCATATCAATTTCAAAGACAACCAAGAACACTAAACTATCTCCTGATCACACTGTTTGATAATGAGAATTTCATTGTTCTGTGGATAAATGTTAGGAGTGTTGTCAATGAATACCGCTGTTTTGTTGATGTACTTCCGACTTTTCAAACCCTGAATTTTGTTTTGATTCAGACAAAGAGTAAACTTAGAGAAGTAAATAACAGTGACAAAACCCTTCTCATAACCAAAAGAAATCTCTGCTAAAAGCAGAGTTCATTGTATGATGCAATAAGAAATTTCAACACACTAGTAGATTACTTTACTTCCAGTTCTATATTGGGACAGCCTATCTTGTTATGCAGTTTGAACTAGGAATGTCATCGTATATCTTAATATTGATGTATCTCTAATTTGTCCATGTTGATACTCTATCGATACAAATTTATGAATGTCAATACTAAAATATAATTCACTGCCACAAAAACACTTACATTTATTAAGATTACCATGGTTTACAAAGATGGCAGGAAATTCAATTTAAAAAATTTAATGGACCAGTTTAGTCCATATTTAGCATTAAATGGGCTACACGTGTAATTTTTATCTATACACATACAGAATAATTAATATTCTTATTAATTGATAAATCAATATTAAAATTTCCAACAATGACACCCCTAGTTGAAACACTCCTCGATACGGGTCTGACCTCCCCCACACATGCCCAGTACACCACTCTCACGTCACACCACATGCTGTATAGGTTAGAGGTCACTGGTCTACCTGCGCTTTGCTGTCGATGTTAAAGGATGTCACAAGGCTGCTCCAAGAGTTCCAGGAACCGTACTGGCGGCGGATATAGACGTGGTCAAACACAGATCCCTTCTTGGGGATCATCAGCCCTCGTGCAAACTTCAAGTTCTTTGGTCTGGAAACACATGGTTTAACAGGATGACACACCTGGGAGCAGGGTATCGTTTCATAAATTTACATGCTCGTAGAGTTTACGCCAATTTTACACCAACGTAATAATACACTAACTTTGTGAAACGCCCTAGTTTAATATTTCCAAGTTACGCCAGTTTTACATTCACGTAAGAGTTACGACAGTTTTGTGAAACGGTACACAGTTCCATAAAGTCATCTTTGCACAAAGATCGCCATCAGTCTGTGATAAAGTGCTGTAGTTATGATGATCATCTTAGCCCTATGCTAATTTTTTGTTAAAGTATTGGAGATACGATTGCCGTAATTCTATGTTAAAGTATTGGAGTGATGATCATCGTAAGTCTATGTAAAAGTATTGGAGTAACGATGATTATCTTAGCGCTATGAATGTGATACTTTAATGTTTAAGTATTGGAGATACGATCATCGTAAGTCTATGTCAAAGTATTGAATTTTGGATGATCATCTTAGCCCTATGACTGTGGTAATTTTATGTTTAAGTATTGGAGATATGATCGCCATAAGTCTTTGTTAAAGTATTGGAGATATGATTGCCGTAAGTCTATGTTAAAGTATTGGAGTGACGATCATCGTAGGTCTATGTCAAAGTATTGGAGTTACGATGATTATCTTAGCTCTATAACTGTGATACTTTAATGTTTAAGTATTGGAGATATGATCGCCGTAAGTCTATGTCAAAGTATTGGAGTTTGGATGATCATCTTATTTTGTGAATTTCTTTACATATGTGCCACTGTACACTAGTGAATCTCTATCATCCCAGCAGTATTGGTGCTGCATTGTCTGAGATAGCCGCTCCACTATGGAGAAAGTACAAGTTATATATTTTCAAGTTAATGAAGGTTTCTCAGTAACCCCAAATCCAGACAATGAAACTTCAAGATTCCGATGCAACTACTATACCTGGGATATTTGCCCGTGGCCTCCATCTCACACAGTGTCCTGAAGAACTCATCAAACTTGAGTCGTGAGTTGGCGTCGAGCGTGGCGCCGATGGACCAGACAATGGAGAAGAAAAAATAGGAGATGATCATGTTGGTTCTCTCCTCAATGATCTTCTGGTCCGTCAGCGTGGTGGGCGTCGGCTCATCCTCTTCATCCTCCCCCTCCTCCGGGATGTACGACTCCTCATCTTCGTCCTCCTGGCCAAGCCGTCTATGTCACAGAACACAACACATGTTACAACCCCGACCGACTGTGGCACAGCACACAACACATGTTACGACCCCCAGCTGTCTGTATGACACAACACACGTTACGACCCCCAGCTGTCTGTATGACACAACACACGTTACGGCCCCCAGCTGTCTGTATGACACAACACACGTTACGGCCCCCAGCTGTCTGTATGACACAACACACTTTACGGCCCCCAGCTGTCTGTATGACACAACACACGTTACAACCCCCAGCTGTCTGTATGACACAACACACGTTACAACCCCCAGCTGTCTGTATGACACAACACACGTTACAACCCCCAGCTGTCTGTATGACATAACACAACACAACACACGTTACAACCCCCAGCTGTCTGTATAACACAACACACGTTACGGCCCCCAGCTGTCTGTATAACACAACACACGTTACAACCCCCAGCTGTCTGTATAACACAACACACGTTACAACCCCCAGCTGTCTGTATGACACAACACACGTTACGGCCCCCAGCTGTCTGTATGACACAACACACTTTACGGCCCCCAGCTGTCTGTATGACACAACACACGTTACAACCCCCAGCTGTCTGTATGACACAACACACATTACAACCCCCAGCTGTCTGTGTGACACAACACAACACACGTTACAACCCCCAGCTGTCAGTATAACATAACACAACACAACACACATAACAACACCCAGCTGTCTGTATAACACAACACAACACACATTACAACCCCCAGCTGTCTGTATGACACAACACAACACACATTACAACCCCCAGCTGTCTGTATAACACAACACAACACACATTACAACCCCCAGCTGTCTGTATGACACAACACAACACACATTACAACCCCCAGCTGTCTGTATGACACAACACAACACACATTACAACCCCCAGCTGTCTGTATGACACAACAGAACACACGTTACGACCCCCAGCTGTCAGTATAACATAACACAACACAACACATGTTACAACCCCAGCTGTCTGTATAACACAACACAACACACGTTACAACCCCCAGCTGTCTGTATAACACAACACAACACACGTTACGACCCCCAGCTGTCAGTATAACATAACACAACACATGTTACGACCCCCAGCTGTCTGTATGACACAACACAACACACATTACAACCCCCAGCTGTCTGTATGACACAACAGAACACACGTTACGACCCCCAGCTGTCAGTATAACATAACACAACACAACACATGTTACAACCCCAGCTGTCTGTATAACACAACACAACACACGTTACAACCCCCAGCTGTCTGTATAACACAACACAACACACGTTACGACCCCCAGCTGTCAGTATAACATAACACAACACATGTTACGACCCCCAGCTGTCTGTATAACACAACACAACACACGTTACAACCCCAGCTGTCTGTATAACATAACACAACACAACCCACATTACAACCCCCAGCTGTCTGTATAACACAACACAACACACGTTACGACCCCCAGCTGTCAGTATAACACAACACAACACACGTTACGACCCCCAGCTGTCAGTATAACACAACACAACACAACACACGTTACGACCCCCAGCTGTCAGTATAACATAACACAACACAACCCACATTACAACCCCCAGCTGTCTGTATAACATAACACAACACACTTTACAACCCCCAGCTGTCTGTATCACACAACACAACACACATTACAACCCCCAGCTGTCTGTATAACACAACACAACACACATTACAACCCCCAGCTGTCTGTTTAACACAACACAACACACATTACAACCCCCAGTTGTCTGTATCACTGTGTCAAGCCTCAATTCGGTAACTTCGATCTTAGCAACAGAAAACTGCCACAGAGCACACATATACTCTTGATCGATAGTACACCCTTTTGGATGTAGATGTCGTGTTGCTCAGAAACTACAGCTATAAAATATCCAGAACATGTAAGGGCATTGCTTCACTTTCTTTGCAATCACAATTCCCCACAAATATCTTCGTTTTCAAGATACAGAAATCAGTTATACTTGTCTGAATGTTTCTCTCACTCGGAACGAGCATTTAGAACACTGATTGGCTGAATAAAATGTCCACCTGACATGTCCTCAAATTTCCACCTCTCATATCACTTGTATTTGCTTCAAACAAAATGGCAGTTACAGTAAATTAGTGAATCGATAATCAAGATGTATAATGTAATAAAACTGGTCTTACTTCGCGATGTGCATCAAATCATTATAGCCACCTGATTAAAAACATGAAAAGATTTGGAAAATATCTGTTGACGCTAAGCTGAAGGTTCACATGCTTTTGTGACAAAAACAAAAGTTTTGTCTATGCTTTTTGTCCATGCACTATGCAGAGATTCGTTAGTCCAGCCAAAATATAACTCCATAATTCCAGCCTGGTTCAGCAAGCGTGGAAACTTGACTTCTATAGTCAGTTAACGCCCTTGCCTCAGGGAGATGATGAGAAGTATAATCTGATCTGTTTGACTTCCTTTACTGAACAGCCAGCTGATTGTACCTTGAAGATGCCTCAACGAATGTAGAGTTAATGTACAGACTATCAATATGTATCCTGAGTTGAATCAAGGAAGAATGCTCAGTGGGTAATTTCTCCAGAGTGAGTGAGTGAGTGAGTGAGTGAGTGAGTGAGTGAGTGAGTGAGGTTTTATGCCGCTTTTTAGAAGTATTCCAGCAATATCACGGCGGGGGACACCAGAAATGGGCTTCACACATTGTACCCGGGTCTTCAGCGTGACGAGTGAACGCTTTAAGCACTAGGCTACCCCACCACCCCAATTTCTACACAGAGGACCTGGTGTACCTGACGTCCTCCATGAGGCAGCTGTACAGCTTCAGCATGCTGGACGTAAGATGCATGGCGTGACAGGGCAGGATGTGACGGCAGTACTTGGTCACAAAGTTCAGGCTCGGCGGCAGGATCCACTCAAACAACATCTACAAAGCAAACAGCGTACTTCACTGACAATGGATATACAGCCTCACATTAGCTACATATATTTTGTTATTTATTTTTTTATAATTACATTTAGTTCTAGTTATTGCAGGTATATCATCTTATGTTTACAACTTTACCTACTTCCTGTTGCGTCATTGCACGCGCGTGTCCTAGGAAGTTACGTAACCATCTCGTGGTGACGTCATCACTGCTTTTTCAATTACGTTAATGTCTCTACTCATCACTTTCGCACAGCCGTTCATCGCATTGTACATTGCATGGTCGCTTTCCGCGTTATTCTTGAGAAATATATTAAAGACTGAAAATTGATATCAAACCTTTATTATCTCCCTCTGCTCTGGCGTGAGATTGTCTGGCAAGCTCTCCACCATCCAAGACTTGATGAGGGGCTCCCAGCTGAGCTGCAGGGGGTCCATGTAGATCATACCACACCTGGCAGGTACAGAGGCAGTGGTGTACATGTGTGAACAACACAGCTTGTTGTACTTTGACTGAATCATCTTGTTCGTACCATGGTGACTTTTGTGGAACCCATGCTTGTCGTAAGAGACAACTAACGGATTCAGGTGGTCAGGCACACTGACTTGGTTGATGCATGTCATCGTATTCCAATTGCATAGATCAATGCTCATAATGTCAATCACTGGATTGTCTGGTCCAGATTTGATAATTTACAGACCGCCATCATATAGCTGTAATATTGCAAACTTTTTGTGGACTGTTATCAAGCAAGTGATGAAACAATCGTACACCGTCAAAGTTGACGATCCATACTATCATGTCAGTAAATATATAGCATCTTATAAATGCTACTGGAAGATCCAGGTACTGGTGGTGGAAACAGTTACAAAAAACTAGATACTACAGAGACACGCCACTGGACCTGTTCACATGTGTGTCTAGCTGTAGTTACAGTTTGTCTTCAGTCAAACTTAAATATATCTGACTTAAAGGGACACTAGACTTTGCCTGAGCTGCAGTCCTAGCAAGTATAATTAGAATAGTTTAAAGTCCACTTTGATTGTCATCTAATTCAAATTTAACCATGTTTATAAATCAAGCGGTTAATTGCACATATGCATATCTACATGCACGTCCTAATGTCCTGATACTCCAATTTTAACAAACCTAGAAACATAATCGGGGCGAACAAGGATTCGAACCCACGATCATAGGTTTCTGGCGACGCAACTCTGCACAGCAAATTGCAGCTCCTTACACAACTGGGCCACATGTGACTCCTCCAATTTTTGAAGCAGACATTATGAAGAGACAATGTCTCAGTGACTAATCACAATGTCTGGACCTAGACTGTAAACAGTCTCCAGCACATGCAGCACAGTCCCGACCTAGACTGTAAACAGTCTCCAGCACATGCAGCACAGTCCCGACCTAGACTGTAAACAGTCTCCAGAACATGCACCACAGTCCCGACCTAGACTGTAAACAGTCTCCAGAACATGCACCACAGTCCCGACCTAGACTGTAAACAGTCTCCAGAACATGCACCACAGTCCCGACGTAGACTGTAAACAGCCTCCAGAACATGCACCACAGTCCCGACCTAGACTGTAAACAGTCTCCAGAACATGCACCACAGTCCCGACCTAGACTGTAAACAGTCTCCAGAACATGCACCACAGTCCCGACCTAGACTGTAAACAGTCTCCAGAACATGCACCACAGTCCCGACCTAGACTGTAAACAGTCTCCAGAACATGCACCACAGTCCCGACCTAGACTGTAAACAGTCTCCAGAACATGCAGCACAGTCCCGACTTAGACTGTAAACAGTCTCCAGAACATGCACCACAGTCCCGACCTAGACTGTAAACAGTCTCCTGTATATGGAGCACTGCGCCCTGTGCCCTGTCTCACCTGCTGACGGTGGCTGGGGATGCCTGCTCCAGATCCTGGGGCTCAAAGATCATGTTCTGTTTGTTGCTCATTTGTATGATCTCGCCACTCATCAGACACAGCTGGAAACATAGTAGCAATGTCCTTACATTAGTATACACATTCACATTGAAAGGTAATATCTAAATTAAAACAAAACCTCAAGTCATAAAATTTTTTTTGTTATGGTTATCTCAGAGACATGAACATCCTAAGGCATATATATATATTCATCTCAGCAAAGACTTAAAAAAAAAGAGAATTGGTTCTCAGGCAATGACTTTTGAAAATATAGAGTGGGCGAGCATTTTTTTTCTTCTTTTTCTGCTTGTTTAAACTAGTATGTAACCAAATAAACAGTTGTGTACCATCAACCTGGATAAGGGCCACCCTACATAAAGAAGCATGCAAACACCTATTGACACTAAGACCATAACACAAGATGCGCAGTAAAGCAGTGTGCATGAAAAGGGAAGTAACTGCGTGCTATATTGGATTGCATTGTTTTTAAGTTCCGTATTCTACGTAATAAGCGCCCAGGGCGCTCTCAAAATTAGAAATAGGGGGCTCTTATTACAATATTATTTTGGTGAAAAAAAAAGAGTTGAAAGATACATTTCGTGCCTGAAATGTTTATATACGAGAGATACATTTTTCCAGAATTTAATTGCCCATAATTAAGGGTGCATATAACACACGAGTACGTATTATACGCGAATAAATAAGTGTTGTGTACATTGATCAATCGGAAGGGGTGCTAACTGATATTGTTCACTAGCCAGTATATTAGTAAATATCGCCGTGGGCGCTTATTAGAGCGGGGCGCTTATTACGTCGAATACTGTATTAGGATTTTTAAATTTTTTTCAAATGGAAATAAAAACGAAACATGGGGCAGACTTTATGAGGCTGCGGGCTGTGCCTGAGAACCAAGACTATTATTTTTTTAGCCAAATGGAGTTGAATGGTCAATGAAACAATGTGATAGTGTATAGGTGCTTCCAAAAGTCTGTATTTCACGATATAATGATGATAGAAATTCTTGTTTTGGTTATTTTACATGTCATGTGATTGTAAAAATATATTACTGGTCCTAATACCCCTGTCACTGGAGGGTCCAGTACTTACCTTCTTGTTGTCGTCCAGCACAGTGTTCATGTTCTCAATCCACACAGCATCAACTGGGCCGTCAAAGATGATCCATCGCCGATCTGCAGAGGTACTCGACGCATGCTCTCGGAATGTGTTGGCTAGTATACCTGTCCATAAAATATGTTACCATGACAACAGTTCCAGGTATTGCTTTGGGACGTATAGAGAGCTGCTAAAGTTACAGAGAAGTGTACTGAAAGTTGGAAAGCAGTATTACATTGGGTACCTTTCATCTACAGCCTTCTGGGGTGGAGAACATTTCTAACTATTAATTTAAAAAAAAGGAAACACTGGAAATAGATTTGCACTTGCAAGGAAACTTTGCTTAAAAATAAGGATGCAATTGGTTACAGATATATGCACAAATGCATCTTTTTCTTACCATCTGTCCACTCATGTGACACAGGGTCAAAGCGGCCATACAGCTGACCCATGGTGACCGCCTTGGGGTTGATGACACTGTGCTGAACCTGCCCAACATACAACCTTGGACATCAGGTTCCACGTCACCAAAACTTCGAAAGTGTGGAATCCAAAAATATTAAGGGCAATTTTTTTTTTACATTTTGTTTTGGGGGGGGGGGACAAGTTTCTAATATTTTCTTTTGTCAATTGGGTCAATAGGTTACTTCAAGAGGTGAACCCCATGATGTCTCATGTCCCACCCAGCCAGACCTGCCACACATGGTATTGATCATTATACTTATACTCACAACTTGGAAGATAATATCAATCTGTTGTTACCATGTCACAAAACATTATTAAACAACATGAAGACTGACGGACAGCATTAATCAGCTGACCACTTCCACATGTCTTTCTGCAAGATTGCAACAAAATAGGAATGTTTGAGATCTTACACCATCTGATAAATCCCCAATATCACTATCTGTTAGGGCTTATAAACCTACTGCCACTTTTGCCTATTGTATTGTAGGTATCTTTTTATCTCGTAATAACCTCTTGGAAGGTTTTACTTTTTCCTAGTAAGACTTCATCCTGAGTATGAGGTTTTACTTTTTCCTAGTAAGACTTCATCCTGAGTATGAGGTTTTACTTTTTCCTAGTAAAACTTCATCCTGAGTGTGAGGTTTTACTTTTTCCTAGTAAGACTTCATCCTGAGTATGAGGTTTTACTTTTTCCTAGTAAAACTTCATCCTGAGTGTGAGGTTTTACTTTTTCCTAGTAAGACTTCATCCTGGGTATGAGATTTTACTTTTTCCTAGTAAGACTTCATCCTGGGTATGAGGTTTTACTTTTTCCTAGTAAGACTTCATCCTGGGAATGAGGTTTTACTTTTTCCTAGTGAGACTTCATCCTGGGTATGAGGTTTTACTTTTTCCTAGTAAGACTTCATCCTTGGTATGAGGTTTTACTTTTTCCTAGTAAGACTTCATCCTGGGTATGAGGTTCACTTTTTCCTAGTAAGACTTCATCCTGAGTATGAGGTTTTACTTTTTCCTAGTAAGACTTCATCCTGGGTATGAGGTTTTACTTTTTCCTAGTAAGACTTCATCCTGGGTATGAGGTTTTACTTTTTCCTAGTAAGACTTCATCCTGGGTATGAGGTTTTACTTTTTCCTAGTAAGACTTCATCCTGGGAATGAGGTTTTACTTTTTCCTAGTGAGACTTCATCCTGGGTATGAGGTTTTACTTTTTCCTAGTAAGACTTCATCCTTGGTATGAGGTTTTACTTTTTCCTAGTAAGACTTCATCCTGGGTATGAGGTTCACTTTTTCCTAGTAAGACTTCATTCTGAGTATGAGGTTTTACTTTTTGCTGGTAAGATCTGATTAGTTGAGTAGCAGATGGAATTTGGACGAAGTGCTTCAAAAGTTGCACTAAAATATAAGAAATGAAAGGTGTTCATTTTCTATAATGGATGACAGGAATCGAAACTGCAATCTTACATATCGTAACATAAGTTTCGTTACCCACTGTTTTACCCCTGAGCCACCGGGGCAGGTGATGAGAGATTCTTCAATTTTAGATGTCATGACTTAGTTTTGTCTATGCTGTACATGTTTTTTTCTCTCGGATGCTTTGGTAGCATTCTTTTTATACCATGACACACTGTATTGCTTCACTGAAAGATATCTCGATGTTTTCTTATTTTTTTCTGTTATCTCTTGCTTTTAGACGGTTTGTAAGCCAGAGAAAACACTGTCATAAATGAAACAAGCGTTGTGATGAAAACATTGTTTTATTTCCTAAATTAACTGCGCTTTGTATAGTGACAGTTCATAAGTGAGAAAAAGCACTCCTCGGTTATGGTAAAGGAAGTAAGACCTTGGCACATTGCCAATACCCTCTCGCCTCGGTCTTACTTCTTCGGCCATAACTTCGGAGTCATGCTTTATCCTTCACATCAAGTCCAGACGAAGCACCACCCACCCTGTCCTCCTCCATAAGACCCTTGTCATGTAGGTCTCCCAGACTGTCTGCCAGAGTTCTGAAGGCCGACGTCTTGCCCCCTATAGGGTCTCCCACGATCATCAGGCCGTGTCGCACCAGGATCATGTCGTAAATCTGGGATAGGGATAGACATTTCCATGAACATACAAAGTACCAGCAGGAGAGATGTTTTTCATGCTGTTATTTACAATACCGTATTCGACGTAATAAGTGCCCAGGGTGCTCTCAAAATTAGAAATAGGGGGCTCTTATTAGAATATTATTTTGGTGAAAAAAAGAAAGATATATTTTGTGGTTTATGCTGACAGCCTGAAATGTTTATGTACGACAGATATATTTTTCCAGAATTAAATGCCCATAATTAAGGGTGCATATAACACACGAGTGCGTATTATATGCAAATAAATAAGTCTCGTGTGCATTGATCAATCGGAAGGGGTGCTAATTGGGATTGTTCACTGGCCAATATCTTAGCAAATGTGGCCGTGGGTGCTTATTGGAGCGGGGCGCTTATTACGTCGAATACGGTACTTCACCAATATCAGTAGCTGTCATCAAACTAGGCCATCCAAGATGCTGAGAATGGCTTCTTACCCCTGAAGTTTTCGGGGCACAGTTGGACATGGGACACACCATCAACCAAGTTCCCCGAGTCTAACTACCCAATCCATAAGTGAGCGGAATTGAACTGGAGTAAAAGATTCTGTGTGAATCTGAGCACCTTAGGCCATGTAGATAGAGCACACTGAAGCACACTGACCTGGATGATCTTCTCCACAAACCAGGGCACAGTCTGCAGGTTCCTCTTCTCCATGTTGCTGATGAGGGCTTCCTCCAGACTCTGATAGTCGGGCTTTGGCAGCTGCACACCGGGGAACAGGTCCGAGATGATGCCCTCGAACAGTGGAATGTCATGTGACAGGAACTGCAATAGAGGGTTGTGGGTAAATACTTGCTTTGACTACAAGCTTGAGTCAGTGAAATGATTCAGAGTGAGCTGCATGAATGAATGAGTTTTTTAGGTACTTTAGTTCTTCCTGTCATGTCAGCTGAAAGTGAGTGAGTGTGTGAATATGGTTTTATGCCGCTTTTAGCAATATTCCAGCAATATCACGGCGGGGGACACCAGAAATGGGCTTCACACATTGTACCCATGTCGGGAATCGAACCCGGCTCCTCGGCGTGACGAGCGAACGCTTTAACCACTAGGCTACCCGACCGCCCGTCAGCTGAAAGACGTGGTGGGGTAGGTAGTGGTTAAAGCATTTTCTCATCATGCTGAAGGACTGGGTTCAATCCTCACAAGGGAATGACGCTTGAAGGGCAGTTCTGATGTCCTAATCATGATTTGCTGGAATGTAGCTCTCTGCCGCTAAACAAAGATCTGAGGACATCCCATTACGGGTCACGTTAGAACGACCTTTCACGAACTTTGTCCAACCACTGAAATGAATAAGAAGAAGTCGATATCAGCCAAAGAGAAAGCAGCTTTCTCGAGCCTAACGGCACTCGTTTCAACCTGGTGACTTCCATTTCTGACTACGCTTGAAAAATATGTTGACACAGTTCTCAATCAAAAGTTTGAAAACTGAACAAAAGAACAATCCGGAATGTCTAATATATGGTTACGATTGTATGGCAGTACTTCCCACGTACTGTGCAACGCCTCCTCCGTTCAAATGTTTATCCTACGGAAGCGAGAGACAGACGATAATTTTGACAGAATCAGTCGTACAGGCTGTAACTGTCGCACCCCTACACGACAAAGTGAGGTACCTTAGGCCTCTGAGACACCAATACCCTTGCAATGATTCTTGGAACATTCATCTTCCTGAGGCAAGGGAGTTAACTGACTATAAAAAGCACTGGTTAACCCTTGCCGAACTAGATTGGAATTATGGAGTTATATCTTGGCTGGACTAACAAGTCCAATCAAAATAGTCCAATCAGAATTGTGTAACCACATTGACATGTGTACCGACAATTTAGCATCAACAGATATTTTCCAAATCTGTAAGACCCCGTTTTATTACAAAATAGATCTTGATTATCGATCAGATTGTCTTCACTGGGCAACGCCATTTTATTTGAAGCAAATGCAAGTGATTTGAGAGGTGGAATTTGATTGGTCCAAAGGAGGGACATAGAAGGGACATAACCCATAATAGCCATTGGTGCCATGTCCAGAAAGTCCAGCACAGTTCGGCAAGGATGGAAACTGGGATGGGAAACATAAGAAATCAATCAATTGGAGTTGTGAGGGTCTGGGTGCTGTTGTACAACGTGATCTCAGCACTAAGATGATCGTTACTCCCATTCCTTTACATTGACTTTCAGCAGTCGTAGCGCTAAGACAGTTTTGTAAAATGGCACCCTGGGACCCGTTCCACAAAGCGATCGTAGCGCTAAGATGATCGTAACTCCCATTCTTTAGCATAGGCTTAAGACAGTCGTAGCTCTATGATCTCTTTGTGGAACGGGGCCCTGTGTAGAAATGTTCCAAGTGAGATAACTATTTACTGAATGAAAATATAAGAAAATGTACAATATGAATCATAAGAAGAAAAACCAATAGTCAGGCAGACGAGACAGGAGTCTTACTGGGACCGTCAGAATGTTGAATCTCTCACCTTTGGCAGGTTGACGTCATTGATGGATCGGAGCACCAGCACGTCCTCCCTCTGGTCCGGGTATTTGAGCTTCAAGTTTCCGGCAGCGGTGAGCACCGACTTGACCGCTCTCATGCCATAGTCATAGTGGTGCTGGGAAGACAACTGACCAAACACAGAACGAGTGAGGAAGTTTCAGTGGCTTTAACAATGTTTCAACTCAAACTTTCATACTATGTAAATATTATACAATAAGAAATATGTTTGGTTTATGATGGAACAGGAAAATACCCAACAAAGTTTGAGGAGTTTAACATTTTATCAGTGATGATAACCTTGTGGACAACACAGCAAGCTGTTTTAATTCTTGAACTTTGAGTTCATTGTCGTACAGAAGTTCCACCACAAACCTGCATGTCACCTTTGACAAAATTTTACCAAAATTATAAAAAAAATATAATATAACTACCTACCCTCTTTTCAGAGTTTGTCAGCACCATACCCGTGCTCATAGGTTTCACTGAAGTGGTTAAGGTCTGAGACCTGCATCACTTTGGGCTTTCATCCCACATTAAGCTGACACGCCGCGATATAACTGAAATACTGTTAAAAGCGGCGTTAAACCCAACTAACTCACTCACTCAATCTTTTCAGAAAGATAATCAGAATTAAGATGAAAGATGTTGAGAAGATATAGAGACCCAAGTCACCTACCTGTTCTGAACACAGTCTGTATGTAGCTACAATCTTGGTGGCCAGACTCCGTGCATCCACAAAGCCCATGGAGTAGAGTGAGATCTCCCCGATCATGCCATAGTCTGGCACCATCATGGCAACTGTACGAAATAGCACCTGCAACACAAGGAACAAACTTCTTACAGACTACTCCTAGAACAAGAAGAATTCCAGATAGTATTGTGATCATCCAATATCCCCATCTGAACTCACCTTAAGGAAGCATCTGAACTCACCTTAAGCTTATCTGGAAGCATCTGAATTCACCTTAAGCTTATCTGGAAGCACCTGAACTCACCTTGACGTTATCTGGAAGCATCTGAACTCACCTTGAGGTTATCTGGAAGCATCTGAACTCACCTTGAGGCTATCTGGAAGCATCTGAACTCACCTTGAGGTTATCTGGAAGCATCTGAACTCACCTTGAGGTTATCTGGAAGCACCTGAACTCACCTTGAGGTTATCTGGAAGCATCTGAACTCACCTGGAGGTTATCTTGAAGCATCTGAACTCACCTTGGGGTTATCTCTAAGCATCTGAACTCACCTGGAGGTTATCTTGAAGCATCTGAACTCACCTTGGGGTTATCTCTAAGCATCTGAACTCACCTGGAGGTTATCTTGAAGCATCTGAACTCACCTTGGGGTTATCACTAAGCATCTGAAATCACCTTGAGGTTATCTTGAAGCATCTGAACTCACCTTGGGGTTATCACTAAGCATCTGAAATCACCTTGAGGTTATCTGGAAGCACCTGAACTCACCTTGAGGTTTTCTGGAAGCATCTGAACTCACCTTGAGGTTATCTCTAAACATCTGAACTCACCTTGAGGTTATTTGGAAGCATCTGAACTCACCTTGAGGTTATCTGGAAGCATCTGAACTCACCTTGAGGTTATCTGGAAGCTCTGCTCTGCCCGCATACCCTGGGTTCATTGTGATGAAGATGGTGCATGTCGGGTCCAGGGAGATCTCTGTTCCCTCAAACACAAACATCTTCTTCTGTTCTGCTATTGCACGCTGGATCGTCTGTACTTGCTGGGCAATCACCGACAGCACCTGTACACCAGTGACACGTTAATTACTGCCAACAGTAGAATTTCCTCATGGGACATATGTGTGATATCAAACTGCAAATAAGAATGTAGATTCATTGACAAAGAATCACATTCAAGCACAATCTGACCACTAATTTTCTGGACAGTGCAGTTTCTTTATTTAGTTTTCTCCTTAAAATTTAAAAAAATATTCTTTCTTTGTCTATTAAAGAATGGTGCAAAACTATTAATAGATGTCCTTGTTTTTTAAAAATATTTTTTTGAGTGCAATATGCTATCAGCGGGATAAAAAGTGGCAAATCTTATCTTTTTCTATTTCAATAAAATTAACAGCTGGCTAGGGCTGGGACGAGTCCAAAATTTACTAACCGGGTACCCCCCCTATTACCCGACCCTACCTGGGTACCCACTATAGGTCGCAAGAGATGTCTCAAAATTCCCTGGCAAAGCGTATTTAGATACATGTATTAAACAATCTGGTCATGCCAACACTGAAGTTGACTGAACTTTGACTTTATTCAACCATATGAAAAGTCAGAAGGAATGGGTGCAAAGTCAGAAAGAAATGCAAATATTAGTGACCAAAAGAGTTCCAGATAATTTTTGTCATTAAACAATATATCACATGACTAACCACGGGTCCAGGTAGTCATGTGTGTACCTGGGTCCTACTCAGTACCCACCCGACCCGGGTACCTGAGTTACCTGTCCCAGCCCTACAGCTGGGAATTCCGTAAAGCAAATAAAAAAGTGTGGCTTTGACGAGACACCCCGATATAGTACAATAGATCTTCATCCATAACATGGTGTGTGCTGCAACCACTAGCTTGACATCAGGCTAAACAATTCTCTTGACCAATGAGCCCTTTTTTAACATAAATCTTAATCCTTCTAGGGACCCAGACTGTAATCAATCATTGTGTCCTGCGAACATTGTCACATGCTTTGAGCAGGGTAAAGATTGCAGAAAATAAAACTTTTGTTCAATCACAGTAATCAATGGAATTGTACTGTAATGCCAGCATGTATGTGAGATTTTATGGGTGCTTCGACCGGTAGACTTTACCTCCAGTTCAATTCTGTTGAATTCATCAAAACAGGCCCATGCTCCTGACTGTGCCAGACCCTTGAAGAACTTGCCCATAGCCTTGTAGTCCAGGCCATCGGAACAGTTGAACACCACGCACTGGAGAAGACAGGACATAGATGTGCACTCATACCATTACGGTGTGTCTGCAGAGCAGCCTCATAAAAATCAGACACTCCCATACCTCATCGCATCAAGATCTGACAACACCTCTACAAAAGATGAACCCTGAGCGAACATTGTCTGCCCAATCAGATGTCTGTTTTCTAAAATGATTTGGATTAATTTTTCTCCCGCCTCAATTCAGAAATGTTTAGATCTCGGCAAAAGAAGATCGAGTGTAACAGAACAAGAACATACCTTATAGTACATCCTTTTGAACACAGATTACATGGTGCTCACAAACAAGGATTTATAAAATATGCACAACCACATAATCACAAGGCTTCATTGATTTGCCCTATGATTCCTCCAATTAAATTACTTTAAATGACATTACTTTAAGCAAAATCAGAATGCTTTGTTCTCCCATACTGAGAAATAAGAACCTCAATGCTGATTGGCTGATTAGAAAGTTCAGCTGATGCAACTTCCCTATGAGGTGTCCTCAGATCTTCATTCAGAGAGGTGTCGAATTGGAGTCAAATATCTGATTTTTATTGGATCAATCTTCAGAGAGAAATGGATTGTGCACCACGATTTCAGATCAGGCAACTTGATAGAACATGATAGTCCAGAGTGAAAAGCATATTTCAATCTGCCTAATGAATATATAAACCTCAATAATGTAAATACAGGCTTCACAAAAACTTAAACAATACCCCATAATATTAAGAAAAGAGAATTGTTTACTGTTTGTTTGTTGTTTAACGCCACTCAGCAATATTCCAGCTATATGATGGTGGTCTGTAAATAATCAAGCCTGCTCCAGTGATTGATATCATGAGCATCGATGTACGCAATTGAGATACGATTACATGCATCAAAACCAAGTCAGCGAGCCTGACCACCCGATCCTATTAGTCGCCTCAACAAGCATAGTCACATGCTACGGCAAGCATGGGTTGTTGAAGACCTATTCTACCCCGGATCTTCACGGGTCGAATTATTGACTGAAACAGATACTTGTAGTTACCTGTTTAGCGACAGCCTTTGCAAGGTCTTTTGAGGTCTCGGTCTTCCCTGTACCAGCAGGGCCTTCAGGAGCTCCCCCCAGGTTCAGCAGCAGCGCCCCCATCAGGGTCCTGGAGAACAACATCATCATCATCATCATCATCATTATTATCATTATGTCATACATTCATATACAGCAGAGGCGGTCGGGTAGCCTAGTGGTTAAAGCGTTCGCTCATCACGCCGAAGACCCGGGTTCGATTCCCGACATGGGTACAATGTGTGAAGCCCATTTCTTGTGTCCCCCGCCATGATATTGCTGGAATATTGCTAAAAGCGGCGTAAAACCAAACTCACTCACTCACTCAATTATTACAATGTGTCCTCAATGACACAAATCACTTCCAGTGTTAGAAGTTATGCATCATTTTCTTTCTTTGTTAGGAGATAAACATATACATGTGTTTTCAATGTAGAGCTAGGTTACCTGTAGATTTAACAAGTTTGAAGTTTCAAAAGTTAAATTTTGCACAGTCAAATCTACTGGCAATCTAGCTACACATTGAAATCCAGTATGTATGTTTTCATTTGATACTGCTGATTGACCATTTTCAATCATGTAACTTCCAAATTCAATGGTAGAATTATGGTTAACCTTATGAACTTGTTATGCAGCTGTAGCAGGGCGTGGAGTCATCCCACAGATGACATCCTTACCTTGTCAGCCTGCTGACGGGGTTAACCTTTTTGGTCATGTGGACAAGGCGTCTGGTCTCTGATCAGAAGGTCCGTGGTTCGAATCCCCTCACGGGACTCGGACATTTTGTGGCTGCTACACAGCCATAGGCCCTGTCCCAATACTTTATGCTAGCAATTCGTTTAGATTTATTAATTCCCTTTGCACGAATCAGTCTTCCTTATATGAAAACATGATACTTTTTATGGATAGCAACTTCTTTTACTCTTTGCCACAACGTTTCAGAGCTACTTCATCAGGTGAATGCTTAGTATGTGTATATATAAGAGTGAATATTATCCTACCCCATCTTTTATCTCGGGGGTGAAAATCTCTAGTGTCAGGATGATTCTCCCCAGTGAATTTGAACCCATACCAGTGTGTTTAATCCTATAGATACGATACTCTCATGTATTTAATCCTATAGATACTATACTCTCATGTATTTAATCCTATAGATACTATACTCTCATGTAATAAATCCTATAGATACTATAGTCTAGAGTAAAACTTCCCCCGGGATAAAATTTAGGTAGGATATAATCCTTGCTTACATATATATATAGAGAGAGAGACAGAGAGAGAGAGAGAGAGAGAGATAGAGAGAGAGAGAGAGAGAGAGAGAGAGAGAGAGAGAGAGAGAGAGAGAGAGAGAGAGAGAGAGAGAGAAAGAAAGAGAGAGAGAGAGAGAGAGAGTTATAATTAAATAAGTGGAGTAAGATTGAACACAGTTTTAATTGGCTAGCACTTTCAACTCCTACCACGTACGAGTCTCATCAGGCCATAACTGAATAATGGACATGAAGTAGTATATACATATATATATATATGTAAGCAAGGATTATACATATTTACAGAACACAAGGTGGGATTAATGTACAAAGATAACAATATAATGATGAAGCCAGTTGAATTAACAGGAGAGGATTCAATAAATATGAAACACATTCACAGTTTTGTAAAGAATTAGTTCGCTTATGAATTTCTTTTTGTGATAAGTAGAAAAACGTATTGTCCCACCTGTAGCACCTGTCCGTGAGGGGCGTGATGACGAGGCGGCCGGAGTTACCCAGGTACTCATAGGCATAGGCCACGGAGGTCGTGATCATCCTCACCATAGCAACCCGATCCTCATAGTAGTAGCGCAGCTGGCTGATCCACGAGAAGTCGTGGTGACTCTGGGTGTCTATCTCGTACAGTTTGGCAACAGTGTCTCGTGCTTCAATATTTTAAAATATTTTTAATTAGATGAGTTAACAAACAAACAATATCATAATCATCTTCCAGAGGCAAGGGAGTTAATTGACTGTAAAGGTCCAGTTTCCACCCTTGCCGAACAAGGATGGAATTAGTGGGCTCAATCGTAGCGCCACCAGTGGAGATTTTGAGTGATATCCTTTAAATGACCTTCCTATTAACCAATCAGATTCCATCTCGCATATGACTTGCATTTGTTTTAAGCAAAATGGCGGCACCCTGTCAAGATGATCTGATCGATAATCAAGGTCTATATTGTAATAAAATTGGTCTTACCTCACAAAGTACATCAAATCGCGTCAGTTTATGAACCGGATGTCGATTCCGTTACAAGATTTTAATTGGACTATGCATAGACTCGTTAATCCAGCCAAAATGTCACTCATAATTCCAGCCTAGTTCGGCAAGGGTGGAAACTGAGCTTATCGTCAGTTAACTCCCTTGCCTCGAGAAGATGTATCATAATGAGCAACACCAGCAAGTGACATCACAGACTGTTTCAGTGTAGGAGTTGAACACAGGCCTTTGGAACATTTCACAAACACTTTACCCACTAGGATACCACACCACCCTTCATTAAATGAAGTCTGAGACCATCAAAGGCAAGAGGTTATATTTCTTGCTTTGCCAATGTTTGAAAAATCCTGTTTAGTAGGTTGGAAAAAAGTAAATAAATTTCCTCTTTTGTTCAAAAGGTTATAGAATCTGTTACTACACTTGCAATGTTATGAAGCTCCCCTGTCTTACAGTTGGATATGTTGTGGCACAATATTTTGAGGTGAACATGTAAGTTTGCAGTTGGTGGAATAAGAAATTATTGAAAATTTGAAAAATTAATTTCTCTTTTCACTTTCCTTTTTTTAGAGAAGCACATCAGTAAACAAGTTTTTATAAATCTCACAATGCGCAGTCAATATATTATCCACTGTTGTTGAGAAGTAATGTACATACCATGCACATCAATTACAATGAGAGCTCCCAGCGTGATGCGGGCCATCTTTGAGAGTTTACCCCGAACCATCTGTACGATCTCATCCACCTGCTTATTACTCTTGGCCAGGTACTCCTTGAGGTGGTTGTCCTGGATAGCCTGGACGAAGAATGTTACATGTCAACACATAGCAGTCTCCTACTGGTTAAAACAATCTGTTTCTTTAAGCATATGGATCAACGTTTCTTCTTCGATTGGCAAAGTCAAAACAAGGTAATTTGGCCAAGAAGTTTAACTTAAGCTTCAGGTATATCGATGATCTGATGTTGTTCAATAACCATCAAATAGCCACTTCCCTTCCACTGATTTACCCACCTGAACTAGGAATAATGGAGACCAGTGAGACCGCTTAATCTGTTTTATATCTCGATCTATGCATAAAGATTCAGAGTGACAAAACACTCTCCACAAGACTGTATGACAACAGGGATGACTTCAACTTTCCAATAGTCAACTTTCCCTGAATGTCGAACAGTATCCAGCTGCTTCAGCCCCTGGAGTCTAAATTTCACAACTTTTGAGGTACAACTGAGCATGCTGTTTCTACCAAGATTTCAAAGAGCATCATACGACTCTTGCTCAGAAGTTGCTTAAAGGTCACAACAATCAAGGCCTCAGTAAAAGTTTCAAAACATTTTATAGTAGACATGTGGAGGACATTCCTAAATTTGATGCATCAGTGACGATAATGATGTCCGATGCAATTCCCTAATTTGACTTTACCATATGCTCCCGTGAACAACTGACTTGCCTTTGCATGTGTTTGTGATGGGTGCCACCAGTGGGGCAGGATATGTTCACCTTTTTGCGAACACCTGGTGTCATCACTATTTGATAGTGATTCATCAACACATGCTCATGATATAGCTGGAAGCGACTCTGTTTATGAGTATGGAAAGAGATTTGTTTTGTTTTTTTAAATCTTGGTAAAAATGTTTTCATTATATTATTCACTCATGTTTGATAAGCCAAGAACTGTGGACGACTTTGACTCACCTTAGTCACCTCTGCAGTCCAATGGACCTGTCCAGCAGCCAATACAATCTGTCCAGGATACTGGAGAACCCATTCCTTCCTAGGGGTGTTTTGGTAGGACTGAACAGCTTTAGTCATCTCCTCCTTCAGACTGAGTTTCATCACCTCCTCCACCTGTTTGGACATGGTGAGAAGAGTGAGTGAGTGAGTTTAACACTTCTAACAGTTATATTAAAGCATGGTTGCTTGATGTGTAACAAAAGCCTAAAGTGATGCAGGTCCTAGAATTTTAATACCTTGATGAAACACACAAACTTGGTATGGTCTTTTCAAACCCAGAAATAGAATTCCATATTTGAAATCACAATTATAGATTTTTGGCACACCTGTGGGTGGCGACTCTGCACAGTGAATTATAACACTGTAGATGACATGGCCACCTGTTCCACCTGCAGTGCAGACCTCAACTTCTACTCCACATAAATCATAGTAACATATCTGCATTAGTCTGAAGCAATTTTGAAAGTTTAACTGATTGACTTTTTATTTTGGTATGCCCACTTGAATGCAGAGAGAACAAAGTCACAGAAATAAAAACAAAAGTGGCGCAAGTCACCATTTGGGCTGTCCCAAAATGACAAGATTCATCGCAACTGTGACCAAGAAAGAATTTAGGCACAACAGGAGAAGGGTTGACAATCTGCCAACCTGTAGCAGCCATCGCTCCACCAGACCGTTTGCGTCACCAGGGATGATCCTACGAGGGAAGTCCACTTTCTCCTTCTCAGCAGACTCCATGGCAACAATGACCTTCTCCAGGTTGAAGGTCAGCTGAGCGATTCCCTCAAAGCACTTCTTGAGATGTGGCTGGACACGAAGAGGGTCTTTGGTCTCAGACAAGATTTCCAGGAGCTCATCGTTGGACAGGAAGAAGAACCTTGAATCATCAGGAATACAACTTTGTTATAATGTTTACATAGAGAACCACATAGAGGCCAGGGATTTCACTGATCTAATACCAACAGCATAACATGTGTTGAGATCATAGGTCACGATAAAGTTTTAATTAGATTTTCATCCATTTATTCAAAAACGTCTGGCAGAAGGCATTTATTTTTATAAATAATTTTTCCACAAAATGTTGAAGGCAAATGTGTGATGGAAGTTGTTGACTGGTGTGATTCACAAGTCTGTCCTCAACACTGACAATGGCAATCTCTAAACAGCATCAGGAATTTTAGGGGCGGTCGGGTAGCCTAGTGGTTAAAGCTTTCGCTCTTCACACCGAAGACCCGGGTTCGATTCCCGACATGGGTATAATGTTTGAAGCCAATTTCTAGTGTCCCTCACCGTGATATTGCTGGAATATTGCTACAAGCGGCGTATAACCATATTCACTCACTCACTCACTCACTCACTCACTCAGGAATGTTAATGTCATATGCCATGAATATGTAATAGCATCCCGTTCATAGTTGAATAATTGTCATGCTTGTTTGTATTTTCATAATGTCATCAATACAAGACAACAAACAGAACAATTCTTCTTTCTTTCATTCTTTTTTGTTTATTGCCACACTCAAAAATATTCCAGCTATATGACGGTGGTCTGTAAATAATTAAGTCTGGACCAGTAACTGACACCATAAGCACCGATCTAAATAATTGGAAAAAATGACATGCATCAATGAAGACCACACAATCCTGTTAATCGCCTCTAACGACAAGCATGTATTGCTGACTAAATCTAATCCAGATCTTGATGGGGGTCAATTAATGATGTGAATTTGGGTGCTTGTAGTTAACTTTTTATTCCTTTAAGTGCTTTTTTTTGTAATTATTAAGACCCCTTAAAAAATCTGAATCATTTGCAATATCTTCCAATAGCTCCCTCACATATCTGAACTTGGTTGAATCAAGCAAATCTAAACTAACTCCAGTTTCTTGCGAGTCAGATAGCAGACTACCACAATACTAGTATGAGAACCTGTCTTAAACAATCATTTGATGGTCTGCAGGTCAGTGTCTACCTTGGGAAGAGATGGGGTGAAATGGGGTTTAACATCGCGTCCAAGATTATTGCACTTTTATAGCGATGTGCATGCACCTGTATGTGTGTGTGTGGCTGCTTGTACTAGTCCGGACTGATGCCAATTTATAGTGCTAGCACACTGAGATACCATGCCGCAGTTTAACATGAATACCCCACAGTATACTGACTCCGAGCCGACCAGTCCTTGTTTTAGCCCCTTAATGCAGAGCGCCAGACAGTGTAACAACAAGTACCATCTTTTAACGTCTTTTGGTATGACACGGCGGGGGATCGAACCCCGGACCTTCCGCTCTCCGGGCGGACGCTCTACCATTAGACCACGGAGGCGGTCCTACCTTGGGAAGAACAGCCTCTTCTTCTCTAAGTAGTCATTGAGGCCTTTCTGGATGTCATCAAGCATGGACTGGAAAACAGGGAACATGGAATCACTGAAGAGAGTATGCCACTACAGTGTCATCCATTTTACATCAACATTTCACCTCCTTCATCATCACAGACTGCCAGTTTGTATCACGGCACTATAAACATCTTCACAAAACATTTTCAAACTATTCAAAACTAAACTCATCAGGCTATTATTATTAAAAAAGAAACTTCAAAGCAATTATCCCAAAATGAATTTTAAATAATTTATGGAAAGAGAAAACTTTCACTTACCACAGAAATGAAATATATTAGTGAGTGAGTATGGTTTTACGCCGCTTTTAGCAATATTCCAGCAATTTCACGGCGGGGAACACCAGAAATGGGCTTCACACATTGTACCCATGTCGGGAATCGAACCCGGGTTTTTGGCGTGATGTGCGAACGCTTTAACCACTAGGCTACCGACCGCCCCTATGAAATATATTAACTGTGCATTCACTGAATGTTGTTTCCTTCTTGGAGATTAAAACAGAACCAAATCCTTCTATATCAGGCCTGAGGTTCTATTTGTCTAGGGCTGGGACGAGTCCAAATTTACTACCTGCGTACCCGACCCCCTATTACCCAACCCTACCCAGGTACCCACTGCAGGTCTCAAGAGTTGGGAACAAAATGTCGGATTGGGAATTGTTTTAACGCAGCCCTGGCAAAAACTGTTTAGATACATGTATCAAATGATCAGATCATGCATACACTGAATTGACTAAAGCTTTATCTTTACTCATACACAGGTAAAAAACAATGCGTGCTTCATCAGAAAGAAATGGGAACATTAGCGACATTATTGTTATTAAACAATATATCACATGACTATAACCATCAAGTGACATAGTCCTGTGGGTACCCGGGTCCTAATGAGGATCCACCCAACCCAAGTACCTGAGTTACCCGTCCCAGCCCTACTATTTGAGATAAAAGAATCCAAGTTGGTAGCAATATAAGTGTCACTGTTTGTAATGCACACAAAAACAAACACTGTTGTACACAATAACAATAACTATTGTACACAATAACAATAACGTTTGTACACAGTAACAACAGTTAGTTTCAGAGACAGGATGACTGTGTAGGTGTAAGAGTTGGGGCATGGTCGACTCACCTCCGAGTGCTGCAGCTTCTCCAGCATCTGGTCCTGGGACACAACCACCAGCGCCTGCGTGTTCTTTATCGCATTCTCCATGATGGTACGCCTGTTGGAACATGGATCAATGTAGTTCCATATGTGTTTAGAATTCATTCATTCATTCGTTCATTCATTCATTCATTCATTCATTCATTCATTCACTCATTCACTCACTCACTCACTCACTCACTCACTCACTCACTCATTCACTCACTCACTCACTCACTCACTCACTCTCTCACTCACTCACTCATTCATAGTATCACTCTGTATATGCAATGATGTCTCCTACGTCAAGAGGGAACAGTGTTTGAGATAGTGATTTATCTACATTGATGAAATAGTCTTCAAGAAACAACACAAGTGTAGAGGACTCTTCTTCTTACGACAATGGGAACATATGCAGGAAAGTCTACAACACCACAAACAGAAAACAACATCAAAATATTCACCGATCCTTGCTGCAGAGTCCTCTACAGGAACACATCTGACCTTGGAACTAAAGCTCACAGTTCAATCCCCTGCCATCTTTACCCCTGCCACCTACCAATGGCTGTCCACCTCCTCGAACATCTTGCCCTCCACAGGGATCTGGTTCCTGATGTCCTGAGAGCCAAATATTGGTTCCAGGTACAGCCATGCTGACTGTACTTTCAGCCACGAATCCAATATGTCTCGCATCCGATGCTGAAATGACACCGAGAATCCAACTTGAAATGTCAGATTTGTATAATCTGGCTCCCTGTTACATATTAATCCCACAGAGATATTCCTTATGTGATAAAAATATCATCTACAATGCAATAATACACTAAAACAATTCTGTGATAAGGTTTTCTTCCCTGTACGGAATAAACTTACACATTACAGTTTGACCGATGATATGTCTGCCGATCAGTCAATATGTAAGTAGTAAAAATTGAAAACTCTTTTACGATCATTGCTTTAATTTTTCATAATGTTAATGAAATTCAGATATGTTTAGAAACAACGAGTTGTAAGATAAATGTTATGACAGCTTCAAGCTAGTGCAATCATCTTTTATTTACACACCCTAAAACCAAACCACTTTAACATTTAACTGATGCATATTGTGTAAGAAATGATTTATCTGAGAGTTTGATATATAATATCTCTGCCCACCAGTTTGTGATCCCACTCATTGACCTCTGACTCGAATGGACCAATGAACGGGGATCCCTTCATGGTGGTTGTCTTGACGATGTGATCATCCAGAAGCACCTGGATCTCATCGAAGGCAGACAGAATGCTAATACCGGAGTCCTTGTACGCCACAAAGTTGAAGTGGACGGCCTCCCACTCCATCTTCATCTTGGACAGAGCCTAGTGACAAAGTCAGACAGTGTAGGAGTGAATCATTTCAGTTTAATGCCACTTTCAAGCCTTTGAACTTGAAAGCCTTAAATGACTTATGACCTTATGGCAAGCAATCTTTTTAAAATCAGATCTTAGTTCTCGCTATCGCTGAACAAAGATCTGAGGACATCCCATTACGGGTCACGTCAGAACGACCTTTCATCCAACCAATCAGAGCATCGCTTACCAGATCATGAAAGTGACAGATGGAATGTGTTTTCTAATCATGCAACCTCGAAATATTTAACAGAGGGTATTCCGAACGACAGTTACGGGATTTATGATTATATTCATACAATCTAGGCCATCTGTAAGCCATTCCAGAATGTTCTTTTTAACAGTTTTAATTTTTTTAATCGAGAATATGTCAAAATATGTTTCGAAGCGTAGTCGCCAGTTTGAAACAAGCGTCGTGAAGCTCAAGAAAGCTGCTTTCTGATTGGCTAATGCCGATTTCATGTCAGTCATTTCATTGACCCTCAAAATTCGCGAAAGGTTGTTCTGACGTGACCCGTAATGGGATGTCCTCAGATCTTATTTTAATGAGATTGGGCCAAAAGTGACAAGTGGGGAGATTAGTGCCATTGTGTTAGCAGCAAGCACTTACGGACAAAGGAAGATAACTCTAGATACTGAAAGTGATATTGAATGTCAACACTGTCAGTGTCTGGAAATTCTAATATTGCTAAGTACCTGGTTAGTAATGGTAATTGATCGAATGTTTTGTACTTGTTGCTAGGATATCTGGTTGAGTTGTGAGAATGTAACAGAGATTGTAGAAACAGCTGTTTGCGTCTGGACCTTGAATAAACGAGTCATGTTGTAACAAGCTGTGTTACAATTTTTCATAAATGCTTGTCATATGAGCTGACTATGACTATTAGTTGGTGACAATGTGCCTTTTGAGTGTCATCCATCATACCACAATGTTGCAGATCACTAACAAAGTTATATACCACTGATTTGATGGATCAAAGTCGGTTATTTCAGGGCTGCCTTGATAAGCTTGAATATTTTTACAAAATAACATTTACTCCCCTACTCCAGCATGAGAGGGACATCCTGCCACCCACCTTCTCCAATGCGAACTCCTTGCTGGCCTGGGAACTGATGTCCATCAATTCATCCAGGTACTTCTCCAGCCCCATCTGCAACACCTCCAGGAGCGGTGTCTGCTCATTCGGGGTCATGTTGAACCCCACCTGCAACACGAACATATATCCCCGTGTTATGGGTTTTCGGACACTTAGGGAACAGTGGCAGTTTTCTCTCTAATCACATGAACAACTATAAAACATATCATTCACTTATAAAAGACAGCTTCCTCTTATAAACAAGCCATCATCTGAGTATTTACAATGTCAGTGTGATGCTTAACCCTCCGTTAAAGCGTGAGTAATCGTGATAAACATGGCCGTCCGAAAACGTATGATGTCCGAAAACCATGATCCGACGATATACCATCTGTTCCTGAAAATATTGGACAATAATATTCTGCCACAGTTATTACCACAAAACAATAACTGTCCACTGGTCATGCTTGATGTCCTAAAAAATAAATATTATCGTTTGGCTTCTTCTTCCAGAGACCAATAAAATGCATGTTATATTGAAGAAGTGATATTAAATGGTTGTTTCCTGAACATCCATCACCTTCTCGTTCATCATGCCCCAGTGCCTCTCCTTGATGCCTGGGTTACACAGAGCATTGATGAGAGGCATGTTGATCTTGAACTTCTCCAGTTTGGCCTTGATGGTGGCTGCTGCCTTGAGAGAGCTGCGGTACTCGGGGCTGGAGAACGTCTTGGTCAGCTTGTAGGCAGTTCGCCACAAGTTCTGAACCTACACAACAGATGCAAGGGCGGTCATGTATGCATTCTTGACATGTTTTTATGCCTTATGCAGAATTTGAAAGGTGAATTTTTTTGAATAGTTTGTTCCTTCTGCTATATATGGTGATGAACTTGTCAAATGTAGTTCAAAAATAAATTTTGATCTGTTACAACTACTAGATTCATCAAAATGCGAGAATTGTTTTTCTGTTTAACTTATTGATCACCCAAAGGATATTCTTACTGTCTCATCAAGTATCAATATGGTAACATCAAGTATCAATATGGTAACATCAAGTATCAATATGGTAACATCAAGTATCAATATGGTAACATCAAGTATCAGTATGGTAACATCAAGTATCAACATGGTAACATCAAGTATCAACATGGTAACATCAAGTATCAACATGGTAATGTGGGGGCCATAAAAATGTGAGTCCTGTAATGGGATTCAAACCATGGACCTGAGGTCGGACACCTTGTCCATATGACCAAAGAGGTTAACCCCCGTCAGCTAGCTGACAAGGTAAGGATGTCATATCTGGGATGACTTTAGACCCTGCTACAGTAACATCAAGTATCAATATGGTAACAACAAGTATCAATATGGTAACATCAAGTTCAAAGTTCAAGTTCAAACTGTAATTCAACAATTTCACATGTTTTCAAACCAAAACATTGAATAACCATACCTCTTCCTCCACAACCTCAGCATTGACCTCCAGTATCGGTCCGTTCATCCACTTGTCGTGTTCACCATGGAATGTGACGGCAGTCGACCACAGCTTGTCAAACGGTTCCTTGGCCGTGGCGATCTCCAGGATCTCATCATATGGCGTCTGATGCTCAAACCCCAGCATCACTTCTTCCCGATTGATGCCAAGTTTCTGAATACATTGTACACAATCATATACAATCAGGAAACACTTCTTGAAACAAGAGGAACCTAGCACTCTGTCCTGAATCTAGGTGAAGGTCTGGGAGTTATGACAGTCCTAGTTCTGATTGGTGGACTCCGTGGTCTAGTGGTAGAGCGTCCGCCCAGAGAGCAGAAGGTCCGGGGTTCGATCCCCGGCCGCGTCATACCAAAAGCCGTTAAAAGATGGTACTTGTTGTTACCCTGTCTGGCGCTCGGCATTAAGGGGCTAAAACAAGGACTGGTCGGCTCGGAGTCAGTATACTGTGTCTGAGTGGGGTATTCATGTTAAACTGCGGCATGGTATCTCAGTGAGCTAGCATTATACATCGGCATCAGTCCGGACTAGTACAAGCAGCCACACAAACACACACACCTACATGCACGTCGCTATATAAGTGCAATAATCTTGGACGCGACGTTAAACCCCATTTCACCTCACCTCACCTCTGATTGGTGGAATGCTGAGGAAGCTATGAAAAGCAATAATCATACTGTCAGTGTACGTGAAAGTACGTACACATGGTGACATTCGTAACAACTTGCCCCTTTCGGTGACCTGCAGGAAGACACATCCCTCTATCGATGAATGTTATGTCAAAAATACATCAAACCAATCATACCAATTTGCATATGATTCAAGTATTTTGGTCAAAAAATCCCTGAGAAATAATGTTTTATTCTTATGGCCACAAGAGGGGCACAAGTCGCTATTCGGCTTGTCCGGAATAACTGTCACTAATGGCATAGTGAGTCTGTGCTAATGATGGCAGCGTTGTGGTCAGCAGTAGAGTTTCGAAGTGAATGAGCTGGGTTTAAAACTGCATGTTAGTTACCGTATTCGACGTAATAAGCGCCCAGGGCGCTCTCAAAATTAGAAATATGGGGGCTCTTATTAGAATATTATTTTGGTGGAAAAAAAAGAAAGTTGAAAGTTGAAAGATAAATGTCGTGGTTTATGCTGACAGCCTGAAATGTTTATATACGACAGATATATTTTTTCCAGAATTTAATTGCCCATAATTAAGGGTGCATATAACACACGAGTGCATATTATACGCGAATAAATAAGTCTTGTGTACATTGATCAATCGGAAGGGGTGCTAATTGGGATTGTTCACAAGCCAATATATTAGCAAATATCGCCGTGGGCACTTATTAGAGCGGGGCGCTTATAACGTGGAATACGGTATATCACAGCATGAATGGCCACTTGGGCAGTTACCATGGTGAAACAAATGGGCATGGAGCTGACTGATCCTGATAACCAGGTGACATTAGAGTGAGTTGGGTTTAACACTGCATTTCAGTTGTATTAAAGTTGATATAGTCACTTGAAACAAATGACCATGGTATAGTACTGACAGGTCTGGGGGCACGGGTGGCCCAGTCGTCTAAGGCGGCGCGATTCGCTGTGCAGAGTTGCGGCCCTTGGGCACGCCAGAAACCTATGATTGTGGGTTCGAATCCCGGTTCATCCCAATTATGTTTCTAGGTTTGTCAGCACCATACCCGTGCTCGTGGGATTCACTAAACTTGTAAACGTCTGAGACCTGCATCACTTCGGGCTTTCCTCCCACATTAAGCTGACACGCCGTGATATAACTGGAATACTGTTAAAAGCGGCGTTAAACCCAACTCACTCACTCACACTGACAGGTCTAGAATCAGTCAGGTGGATTCACTGAAACCCATGAAGAGCAATGTGTGTGTGAGGGACTCAACTCTTTGTGTGTGAGACACACATATTATACACTGATACACAGGCAATACTTGACCAGCCTTGAAAGTTGCATGTCTCCCTACTCTTTATGAAGAACACAAAATCTCATGTGTGATCAACACAACTCTTGTTGTGGGGTCTTTTACCACGAGTTATTCACTGACCACCATTGCATACACTACTGCTCCATCCAAAACAGCCATCGGACGGCCAAATATGATTTAACGGAAATGATGAAACACATCATCAACTGACTAGCCTCAACAGTCACATGTCACCCTACCGTCTGTTTGAAAGTCTCCAGTCGGATGGTGATCTCGTCCAGCTCCGCCATGTACTGCTTTGCCTCGGACATCCGGTCTCGGGAGGAGAAGGCTCCGACCTTGCGGCCCGCCTCTGCCAACTCCATGGCAAACTTTTTCTTCTTGTCCCTCAGTTTGGACACTGCCATGTCATGCTCCCTCTGTAGCTTGTTCTCCCTGACAGAGACACAAAGGCAGGTGAGTGAGTGAGTGGGTGTGTCTCATGGGTGTGGCGTTTATTGTGTTGTTGGTTGGGTGTGTTGTTGGGTGGGTGGGTGTGTCTCATGGGTATGGCGTTTATTGTGTTGTTGGTTGGGTGTGTTGTTGGGTGAGTGAGTGAGTGGGTGTGTCTCATGGGTGTGGCGTTTATTGTGTTGTTGGTTGGGTGTGTTGTTGGGTGGGTGGGTGTGTCTCATGGGTGTGGGGTTTATTGTGTTGTTGGTTAGGTGTGTTGTTGGGTGAGTGAGTGAGTAGGTGTGTCTCATTGGTGTGGCGTTTATTGTGTTGCTGGTCGGGTGTGTTGTTGGATGGGTGTGTGTGTTGTTTGGTGTGTGGATGTTTTGCTTGGTGTGTGGGTGTGTTGTTTGGTGTGTGGATGTGTTGTTTGGTGTGTGGGTGTATTGTTTGGTGGGTGGGTGTGTTGTTGGGTGTGTGGGTGTGTTGTTTGGTGTGTGGGTGTGTTGTTTGGTGTGTTGGTGTATTGTTTGGTGTGTTGTTGAGTGGGTATGTTGTTAGGTGGATGTTTTGTTGGGTGAGTTGTTGTTGGGTAGGTGGGTGTGTTGTTGGATGAGTTGTTGTTGGGTGGGTGGGGTGTGTGTTTTGTTGGCAGGGTGGGGTGTGTGTGTTGTTGGGTGTGTGGGTGGGTGTTGGGTATGTGGGTGTGTTGTTGGGTGGGTGGGTGTGATGTTGGACGGGTGGGTGCGTGTGTTGTTGGTAGATGGGTGTGTTGTTGGTTGGGTGGTCAAGTGTTGTTGGGAAGATGGGGGTTGAAGTGTGTTGTTATTGTGTTATTGGATTGTGTTGGGTGTTGGGTGAGTGTTTTGGGGTAGATGGGTGGGTGGGTGTGTTGTTGGGCAGGTCTGTGAGGTTTTGGGTGGGTGGGTGCGTTTTGTTGGGTGGGCAAATTGAGTGTCCGTATTGACTGCAGTTTCTTACGTGTTTCTCACAATGGGCATGATTCTGTCAGGCCAGGTGAAGGTGTTGTTGTTGATGATGACATCATTGGAGGGGAGTATCCCATAGTCCATCAGGAACATCAGGTTACCAACAGCAACCTCAAGTTTGTCCTGAAAACGAAAAATCACTGAAGAATTGTGTGATGTTTCATAAACTTCTAACAGTTTCCCCAATAGTTTGCCAACTTCTGTAAACGTTAACATTTTCCCAATAAGCTTCCCTACATAGTCTATGGGTCTGACCAGTTATTCTGTGAGAGAGACCCACCTTTAGCTCTAAAAGTTCCCCAACTTTGAGGTTTTCCACATAGTCTATGAGTCTGACACGTTCCTCTGTAAGAGAGACCCACCTTTAGCTCTAAAAGTTCCCCAACTTTGAGGGTCTCCACATAGTCTATGAGTCTGACCAGTTCTTCTGTAAGAGAGACCCACCTTTAGCTCTAAAAGCTCCCCAACTTTGAGGTTCTCCACATAGTCTATGAGTCTGACCAGCTCTTCTGTGAGAGAGACCCACCTTTAGCTCTAAAAGTTCCCCAACTTTGAGGTTCTCCACATAGTCTATGAGTCTGACCAGTTCTTCTGTAAGAGAGACCCACCTTAAGCTCTAAAAGCTCCCCAACTTTGAGGTTCTCCACATAGTCTATGAGTCTGACCAGTTCTTCTGTGAGAGAGACCCACCTTAAGCTCTAAAAGCTCCCCAACTTTGAGGTTCTCCACATAGTCTATGAGTCTGACAAGTTCCTCTGTGTTGGTGGCCTGCTGAGCGCTGTTTTTGACGATCTGGTCGTATTGTTTACAGATTCCACGGTTGAAGTTCAGACTGGTTGTGATTATTTTAGTCACCATGATGTCTATCAAAGAGCGAGCACGGTCAATCAGCCACTGAAATATATGCAATGAGTGAGTGAGTAAATTTAAAATTAAAGCCACATTGGCATTATTTCAAGCGTGTGTCATGTCTATTGATAGTGGTAATGTTGCAGGGTGTCAGGGCATTTGGACTAAGATTCCCCTCCCCACCACCACCACCACCAACATCAATGGTTGGACTCTTACAAACACTAGGAAGTTGTTATCCATAAAAGGTTCATGTCCTCATGGTACAATAGTCAGGGCTGGGACAGGTAACTTGGGTACCCGGGTCTGGTGGGTACTGAGTAGGACCCGCGTACCCACAGGACTACCCGGACACGTGGTTAGTCACATGATATATTGTTTAATGACAAAAATTATCTAGAACTCTATGGTTACACCACAAGTCACTAATGTTCACATTTCTTTCTGACTATGAACCCATTCCTTCTGATTTTTCATATGGTTGAATAAAGATAAAACTTAATTCAACTTCAGTGTATGAATGACCAGAATGTTTCATACATGTATCTAAATACATTTTGCCAGGGCTATGCTAAAAATGTTCCTTATCGGACATTTTGAGACATCTGAAACCTACAGTGGGTACCCAGGTAGGGTCGGGTAATAGGGAGGTGAGTACCCGGGTAGTAAATTTGGACTCATCCCAGTCCTATACAATAGGGTTCCTGTAACCTTGACCATTGCTGCTGCCTGTGCCTGCTTACCCGGTTGATGTGGTTGCAGTCGAGGAGGAAGAAGTGCATGGGGATGCGGACTGGGAGGGATCCCACCTCAGACGCCATCCTCTTCAGCTTCTCTATCTCCCGTACATACTCCCGCAGCGAGTGGTCGCGACTCGTGAACTTGTTGGTGAACGTGTCAGCATGGGTAGAGAGCAGGTACTTGTATGGCTCATAGGTGGACTTGTACCTTGAAAAGATATAGTGACTTTGGTTTAAGTGAGTGGGTGGGCTTTGGTTGAGTGAGTGAGTGAGTGAGTGAGTGGGTGGGTGGGCTTTGGTGAGTGAGTGAGTGAGTGAGTGAGTGAGTGAGTGAGTGAGTGAGTGAGTGAGTGAGTGAGTGAGTGAGTATTCTAGTTATATCATGCCGTGTCAGCTTAATGTGGGAGGAAAGCCCGAAAGTGACGCAAGTCATAGACATTTACCATTTCAGTGAATCGTCTCAGGAGAAATAATTCATTTTCAAAATTGAGTTTTCGGATCTATGACTGTATTTTCAGATTGTGTAGTCAAGGTCAACCTGACCAAGGTAATACATCCTCAATGATAACGGGTTCATAGGAGGGCTAAACTTTGGTATAAGACATTGCAACTTGGTGGAGTTATGTCCCTTGGCTGCCTTGACGGTTTGTAAGTTTGAATCCCAAATATTTTTCATTCTTCCTTTGTAAGCACACTGTTGGTACCCCAATTCGACAAATATTTCATTTTCATGTTTAAATTATGACTTACATGATACAGAGTTGTCAAGCTCAGATTAGATTGTGGTATGGAGCGCTGTGCCTGTGGATTTTACCAATGTGGGAGATCTGTTCAACATCCCTGCCTCTCTTTGGAGTGTGTGAGTGAGTTGGGTCTAACACCTTTTAAACAGTATTCCAGTTATATCACAGTGGCAGCTTAATGTGGGAGAAAGCCCAAAGTGATGATGGTCTCAGATGTTTTGGGGATTCCAACCCACAACCATAGGTTTCTGGCATGCCCAAGGGACGTAACTCTTCACAGCAGATTGCAGCACCTTAGACGACTGCGCAACCGGTGGCAGCCTCTATTTTTGGCTGCACTTCCACACTAGTATGTCACAAAACCCAATACCACTCATTCAGTCACTGTAACTGATGTGAGACTGTCCCTAGTCAACGTGTGTCGATAAGTTCATCTAGAATTATCTTACAATCATTTTTGGGACTTACTTAATAGGGCCATGACTATTTGCCATGACCACCTTGCGTATACGGGCTTTGGCGATTTCCACCAATTCCTCGCCATCTTGTACAGTACTGATGAATTTGTCTTCAAGGTCATCCACAGCATGGAAGAGCAGGTGTTCGATGTGCTTCAGGTCTGTGACGCTAGCGACCATGGTGTCGATAATGAAGCAGAAAAAGTCACAGATGTTGGGAAAGACGGGTTTGAAAGACAGTTCCCCTTCCTCCAAGCTCTCTTGCTGAAAGAGAAATTCAGAGTAGCTGTTTGGTTGGCATTCTAGAAGTTAGTGAGTAAATAATGAAACATACAACTTAATGGATAACAACATCTGGTTTATTGCATATAACGACATTTTCATGGCGATTCTTACACCATTCTATAGTCATCTATAAAGTTGTACGTTTGAATGCTTTTTTCCATATCTAGTAGAAGTCACTTAAAATTAGATACCACAAAGTTTTTGGGTCAGACAATTGTTCTAGATTTCTTAAAAAAACTTCAACAAAGGCCTCAACAATTCATGTTTCTTGTTTAATGAATAACCTACACTAACTTTAACAATAGTTTGAAAGTTAAAGTTGTTTGAATGAACAAAACTTTTATCCTAAACGTTTTTGGTGTGTGGTTTTGTAAGAAATATACCTAATATATTTTTTTTAATATTGAAATAGCCCATATATCAACCCTAACAACATGTTCATTTTATTTTTTTTTGCTTCCTGACCAGACAATCTGTAAGAAAATCTAATTGTCTTGTCTATTTACCAAAATGGGCGGTCGGGTAGCCTAGTGGTTAAAGCATTCGCTCGTCACCCTGAACACCCGGGTTCGATTCCTGACATGGGTACAATGCGTGAAACCCATTACTCACTGGTGTTCCCCGCCGTGATATTGCTGGAATATTGCTAAAAGCGGCGTAAAACCATACTCACTCACTCACTCACTGTGTGCTAAAAGGGAGACAAGCACCTGACACTGACATAACCTTTATAAAAAGGGTTATCTTTTACTGCCATAAAAAGGCAGATTTGTGTGTGTGTTTCATGACTACAGCAGATCATGTTTCTTCTGCATGCAAACCATCATGGTTGTGCTAGGGCTCAGTGTAGGACAAAAATCTCCTCCTTAGTCTTGACTGACAAAGTCATTCGTCACCACTTGGCCCTTTCCGTAACCTGCAAGAAGACTCGTCCCCATATCGATGAATGCTATGTGCTAATTTAAAATACAACTAAATAATCAGAATGCGTGTATGACTTCAAGTTCTTCATCAAAAAATCCCTCAGGAGTAATTTTTGATTTTACATAAGTCTAAATATCTAGATATAAATCTAAATATACCCAAGATACAGTTAAATGTGTTCAATCATACTGTATAATTCCGCATGTCCCGATGTACTTTAAATTGCAGCTGAAATATATGTAATATATGGGGAAATATATGTGGACCATTACGCAACGAGTTGACAGTTGTTTTAGGTATATGCCTGTTTGTGCTAAAATCGCAAAAATAACCATGAGTGGGGCACGAGTTCCTATTTGGCTTGTCCCGGAGTAACACGAGTTGGTCATGAATGTGAAAATGTAAGCCCAGGGAAGAGAGAAATTGGGGAGGGAGGACTTACATTCCCAGCCAAGACCGAGGAAGAGATTTTTATCCAACATAAAAAACATAAAAAACACTGAGTTCCATGCAGTTGTAAACTAGACTGACCATGAAGAATGTGACAGGATGTATTTTCTGTGGCAGTGCCAGCCCCTTGAAGATGCTGTAGATGCCATCATAGACGTTGCCATCAGCGTACTCTTCCACGAGGTCAACGAGGTCAGAGATGGAGTTGGCTACACAGCTGCGCAGCAAGTTGGACATCAAGGAGGCGACGCAGCCGAAGAAGTGGTCCATCTGCCCCAACCTCTCCTCCTGGAACATCATAGACTGAATCATGTACAGTGAGTCAGTGTTCTACTGAATCAGGTTCTACTGAATCATCATGCTTCTACTCATGTTGGTATTCTAACCAACATCCAGCCCTCCACCTCATCCCGATGTGTATCGATGATGTCCCAACCACCTACCCGAGTCCCCTAGGATCCAGCCCTCCACCTCATCCCGATGTGTATCGATGATGTCACAACCACCTACCGAGGCGCCAGCATCCAGCCCTCCACCTCATCCCGAGGTGTATCGATGATGTCACAACCACTTACCCAGTCCCCCGGCATCCAGCCCTCCACCTCATCCCGAGGTGTATCGATGATGTCACAACCACCTACCGAGTCCCCCGGCATCCAGCCCTCCACCTCATCCCGAGGTGTATCGATGATTTCACAACCACCTACCTTGTCCCCTGGCATGCAGCCCTCCACCTCATCCCGATCTGTATCGATGATGTCACAACCACCTACTCAGTCCCCAGCATCCAACCCTCCACCTCATCCCGAGGTGTATCGATGATGTCACAACCACCTACTCGGCCCCCAGCATCCAGCCCTCCACCTCATCCCGAGGTGTATCGATGATGTCACAACCACCTACCGAGTCCCCCAGCATCCAGCCCTCCACCTCATCCCGATGTGTATCGATGATGTCACAACCACCTACTCAGTCCCCGGCATCCAGCCCTCCACCTCATCCCGAGGTGTATCGATGATGTCACAACCACCTACTCAGTCCCCTTCATCCTGCCCTCCACCTCATCCCGAGGTGTATCGATGATGTCACAACCACCTACTCAGTCCTCGGCATCCAGCCCTCCACCTCATCCCGATCTGTATCGATGATGTCACAACCACCTACCCAGTCCTCGGCATCCTGCCCTCCACCTCATCCCGAGGTGTATCGATGATGTCACAACCACCTACTCAGTCCCCGGCATCCAGCCCTCCACCTCATCCCAATCTGTATCGATGATGTCACAACCACCTACTCAGTCCCCTTCATCCTGCCCTCCACCTCATCCCGATGTGTATCGATGTCACAATCTACCCAGTCCCCCGGCATCCAGCCCTCCACCTCATCCCGATGTGTATCGATGATGTCACAAACACCTTCTCAGTCCCCCAGCATCCAGCCCTCCACCTCATCCCGATGTGTATCGATGATGTCACAAACACCTACCCAGTCCCCCAGCATCCAGCCCTCCACCTCATCCTGATATGTATCGATGGTGTCACAACCACCTACCCGGTCCCCCGGCATCCAGCCCTCCACCTCATCCTGATATGTATCGATGGTGTCACAACCACCTACCCGGTCCCCCGGCATCCAGCCCTCCACCTCATCCTGATATGTATCGATGATGTCACAACCACCTACCCAGTCCCCCGGCATCCAGCCCTCCACCTCATCCCGAGGTGTATTGATGATGTCACAACCACTTACCGAGTCCCCCGGCATCCAGCCCTCCACCTCATCCCGATGTGTATCGATGATGTCACAACACTCCATTAGCCACTCCTTCTTCAGTCTGCTGGCTCCATTTTTACTCGATGTCTGCACATGCTTCAGGAATGTTTCCATGGTTACAGGCATACGCTTCCGCAAACCAGGAATATCCAGCAGTCGGAAATTCCCATATCTGTTGAAGGAAAAATCAAGTTTGATTATCATGAAAATCACCAAAAAACGGGAAATCCTTAACACCTTCATACATCATGCAAAAAATATACTATTTTCCTTCAGGCATACTTTGTTTGCTATAATATTATTTAACACAGTTGCTTTGCAAGGAAATTGATGGAAGGGTTGTCAGATGAATGTTTGTATGGATGACCTCTTCCTTACACTCCAACTGTTCTTTAGCATGTCTCAGTGCAACCCAGATGAATTGCAAGAAGTTACCCTGAAAATTTGTTGGACACAGCAAAGAAATTTGTATCCATAATAGTTTTCATGTCTTTAGACTTACCTGAAATCTTTTCGAACAGACTTACAGTGTGAAGAAAAGGTGTAGTATGTTCCTACAAACTTAATCTTTTTGGAAATAGCATAGTATTTTCCTACAGACTTATTTTGAGTGCAAATAGTGTAGTATTTTCCTACAGACTTATTTTATGTCCAAATAGTGTAGTATCTTCCTACAGACATACTTGTTACCCTATAGAATTATTTTGCATGTAATTGGCATTCTAGTTTTCTATAGACTTTGCTTGAAAATAGTATAATATTTTCCTGTATACTTACTTTCTGTGGAAATAGTATAGTATTTTCCTGCGTATTTACTTTGAGCGAAAATGGCATAGGACTTGCCTGTATATGTTCTGTGGAAATAGTATAATATGTTCCTGTATACTTACTTTGTGTGGAAATGGTAGAGAAATTTTCCTATGTACTGACTTTGTGTTGAAATGGTAGAGTATTTTCCCATATACTTACTTTGTGCGGAAACGGTATAGTATTTTCCCATATACTTACTTTGTGTGGAAATGGTAGAGTATTTTCCCATATACTTACTTTGTGTGGAAATGGTATAGTATTTTCCCATATACTTACTTTGTGTGGAAATGGTATAGCATTTTCCCATATACTTACTTTGTGCGGAAACGGTATAGTATTTTCCCATATACTTACTTTGTGTGGAAATGGTATAGTATTTTCCAATATACTTACTTTGTGTGGAAATGGTATAGCAATTTCCAATATACTTACTTTGTGTGGAAATGGTATAGTATTTTCCCATTTTCTTACTTTGTGTGGAAATGGTAGAGTATTTTCCCATATACTTACTTTGTGTGGAAATGGTAAAGTATTTTCCCATATACTTACTTTGTGTGGAAAAGGTATAGTATTTTCCAATATACTTACTTTGTGTGGAAATGGTATAGCAATTTCCAATATACTTACTTTGTGTGGAAATGGTATAGTATTTTCCCATATACTTACTTTGTGTGGAAATGGTATAGTATTTTCCAATAAACTTACTTTGTGTGGAAATGGTATAGCAATTTCCAATATACTTACTTTGTGTGGAAATGGTATAGTATTTTCCCATTTTCTTACTTTGTGTGGAAATGGTAGAGTATTTTCCCATATACTTACTTTGTGTGGAAAAGGTAGAGTATTTTCCCATATACTTACTTTGTGTGGAAATGGTATAGTATTTTCCCATTTTCTTACTTTGTGTGGAAATGGTAGAGTATTTTCCCATATACTTACTTTGTGTGGAAAAGGTAGAGTATTTTCCCATATACTTACTTTGTGTGGAAATGGTATAGTATTTTCCCATTTTCTTACTTTGTGTGGAAATGGTAGAGTATTTTCCCATATACTTACTTTGTGTGGAAAAGGTAGAGTATTTTCCCATATACTTACTTTGTGTGGAAATGGTATAGTATTTTCCCATTTTCTTACTTTGTGTGGAAATGGTAGAGTATTTTCCCATATACTTACTTTGTGTGGAAAAGGTAGAGTATTTTCCCATATACTTACTTTGTGTGGAAATGGTATAGTATTTTCCCATTTTCTTACTTTGTGTGGAAATGGTAAAGTATTTTCCTCATGACTGGATGTGTGATGTAGAGTTCATTGCACATGAAGTCTCTCATGGAATTCACTGTATCGTGCCAGGGAAACCCGTCTCTCCCGGCCAGATTGGAAGGCTGGAAGGGTGACAGATGCATTCACAGATATGCCCAGTAAAGTCCATTATCATGACATAAAAGTTACAATCTCATTAAAATCAGATCTTAGTCTTATCTACTGCTAAACAAAGATCTGAAGACATCCCATTACGGGTCACGTCAGAACGACCTTTCGCAAACTTTGACCGACGAATGAAATGACTGACAAGATATCGACATAAGCCAATCAGAAGGCAGCTTTTTCGAGCTTTACGACACTAGTTTCAAACTGGCGACTACGCTTCGAAACATATTTTGACGTTTTTTCGATTAAAAAAATTAAAACTGATAAGAAGAACATTCTGGAAAGGCTTATAGATTGCCTAGATTGTATGGATATAATCTTAAACCCCGAAACTGTCGTTCTGAATACTCTGTGTTTAATATTTCGTGGTTGCATGATTAGAAAACACATTCCGTGTGTCACTTTCATGATCTGCTAAGCAACGCTCTGATTGGTTGGATGAAGGGTCGTTCTAACGTGACCCGTAATGGGATGTCTTCAGATCTATGTTCAGCTTTAGCGAGAACCAAGATCTGATTTTAATGAGATTGTGAGAGTTCCGCCACAGAAAACATTAGAACTGGTTCCATGAGGCAATGATTTATTATTCTCATAATGTGCTCTCACAAGTTGAGACCTGGGAACTTAAAGTATTTCCAAATTGTATGCTTAATATAAAACTTACACACCTGCAAAAAAACGTCATTTAAAATGCACTGTATTCAGTGTTTGTCAATATTCTAAATGAGGATATCCTAAGAAATAAGCTTAAGAATTGTGTTACCATGCAGAATGTGTGGATGGACATAACAGTACACTACCTTGGCAGGCATGGGCACCCCCAGTCTCTCTTGTTCTGTAGGGTCAATGAGTACATAGTCCAGGATGGCTTTCCTCACTGCCAGCCGGTACTCCTTGTCCATCTCCTGCACACAGAAACACAGCACAAGCTACACGGATTGTCCCTTGTGTCAACGAAGTGGAAATTGTCCAGATCCTGTGTAATTTGGGGCTATCCAAACTCACTCACTCACACAAGGTTATCGGGTGAGTTCTCTGCAGCACTTTTCATACCACATTGAAATATGAAACATGTCACAATGGAGGAAATCAAGAGCATCATGTGGCTGACCGTGACGTACCTCGGTTCTTACAAAGTACCGTATTAGACATAATAAGTGCCCGGGCGCTCTAAAAATTAGAAATGAGGGTCTCTTATTGGAATATTATTTTGGTGAAAAAAAAGAGAGTTGAAAGATCGTAAATTTCATGGTTTATGCTGACAGCCTAACATGTTTAAATATACAGGACAGATATATTTTTCAAGATTTTAATTGCCCATAATTAAAGGTGCATATAATACACGAGTGTGTATTATACACGAATAAATAAGTCTTGCGAACACTGATCAATCAGAAGGAGTGCTAATTGGGATTGTTCACTAGCCAATATATTAGCAAATATCACCGTGGGCGCTTATTAGAGCGGGGCGTTTATTACGTCGAATACGGTACACCTCCAGCTGACATTTTGCCCTGCATACGTCTCTGTACATAACTGTATGATTGGAGATGACTTTAGTTACTAACTGTTTGATTGGATTTCTAGAAGTTAGTGAGTAAACAAATACACATGCAACCTTATGGAAAACAACTTCTAGTTTATTGTATTCAGCGACTTTTTGATGTTGATCCTTACACCATCACGCCAGCTTGACAATGTTGCAAGTGAGTGAGTATGGTTTTACGCTGTTTTTAGCAATATTCCAGCAATATCACAACGGGGGACACCAAAATTGCATGGGCTCTCACATTGTACCCAGACAATGTTGTAAGAATCTACAATGAAACATCTCTATCTGCAATAAACCACTAGTTGTTATCCATAAAGTTGTATATTTTCTGACTTTAGTTGTGACAATGTTGAGATGACTTTAGTTGTGACAATGTGGAGATGACTTTAGTTATGACAATGTGGAGATGACTTTAGTTGTGACAATGTGGCTTTAGTTATGACAATGTGGAGATGGCTTTAGTTGTGACAATGTGGCTTTAGTTATGACAATGTGGAGATGACTTTAGTTGTGACAATGTGGAGATGGCTTTAGTTGTGACAATGTGGAGATGGCTTTAGTTGTGACAATGTGGAGATGGCTTTAGTTATGACAATGTGGAGATGGCTTTAGTTGTGACAATGTGGCTTTAGTTATGACAATGTGGAGATGGCTTTAGTTATGACAATGTGGAGATGGCTTTAGTTGTGACAATGTGGAGATGGCTTTAGTTATGACAATGTGGAGATGGCTTTAGTTGTGACAATGTGAAGATGACTTTAGTTATGACAATGTGGAGATGACTTTAGTTGTGACAATGTGGAGATGACTTTAGTTATGACAATGTGGAGATGACTTTAGTTGTGACAATGTGGAGATGACTTTAGTTATGACAATGTGGAGATGGCTTTAGTTATGACAATGTGGAGATGACTTTAGTTGTGACAATGTGGAGATGGCTTTAGTTGTGACAATGTGGAGATGACTTTAGTTGTGACAATGTGGAGATGACTTTAGTTATGACAATGTTGAGATGGCTTTAGTTATGACAATGTGGAGATGGCTTTAGTTATGACAATGTGGAGATGGCTTTAGTTATGACAATGTGGAGATGGCTTTAGTTATGACAATGTGGAGATGACTTTAGTTATGACAATGTGGAGATGACTTTAGTTATGACAATGTGGAGATGGCTTTAGTTGTGACAATGTGGCTTTAGTTATGACAATGTGGAGATGGCTTTAGTTGTGACAATGTGGCTTTAGTTATGACAATGTGGAGATGGCTTTAGTTGTGACAATGTGGAGATGGCTTTAGTTGTGACAATGTGGAGATGGCTTTAGTTGTGACAATGTGGCTTTAGTTATGACAATGTGGAGATGGCTTTAGTTATGACAATGTGGAGATGGCTTTAGTTGTGACAATGTGGAGATGACTTTAGTTATGACAATGTGGAGATGGCTTTAGTTATGACAATGTGGAGATGGCTTTAGTTATGACAATGTGGAGATGGCTTTAGTTATGACAATGTGGAGATGGCTTTAGTTATGACAATGTGGAGATGGCTTTAGTTATGACAATGTGGAGATGACTTTAGTTATGACAATGTGGAGATGGCTTTAGTTGTGACAATGTGGCTTTAGTTATGACAATGTGGAGATGGCTTTAGTTGTGACAATGTGGCTTTAGTTATGACAATGTGGAGATGGCTTTAGTTGTGACAATGTGGAGATGGCTTTAGTTATGACAATGTGGAGATGGCTTTAGTTGTGACAATGTGAAGATGACTTTAGTTATGACAATGTGGAGATGACTTTAGTTGTGACAATGTGGAGATGACTTTAGTTATGACAATGTGGAGATGACTTTAGTTGTGACAATGTGGAGATGACTTTAGTTATGACAATGTGGAGATGGCTTTAGTTATGACAATGTGGAGATGACTTTAGTTGTGACAATGTGGAGATGGCTTTAGTTGTGACAATGTGGAGATGACTTTAGTTGTGACAATGTGGAGATGACTTTAGTTATGACAATGTTGAGATGGCTTTAGTTATGACAATGTGGAGATGGCTTTAGTTATGACAATGTGGAGATGGCTTTAGTTATGACAATGTGGAGATGGCTTTAGTTATGACAATGTGGAGATGGCTTTAGTTATGACAATGTGGAGATGACTTTAGTTATGACAATGTGGAGATGGCTTTAGTTGTGACAATGTGGCTTTAGTTATGACAATGTGGAGATGGCTTTAGTTGTGACAATGTGGCTTTAGTTATGACAATGTGGAGATGGCTTTAGTTGTGACAATGTGGAGATGGCTTTAGTTGTGACAATGTGGAGATGGCTTTAGTTGTGACAATGTGGCTTTAGTTATGACAATGTGGAGATGGCTTTAGTTATGACAATGTGGAGATGGCTTTAGTTGTGACAATGTGGAGATGACTTTAGTTATGACAATGTGGAGATGGCTTTAGTTATGACAATGTGGAGATGGCTTTAGTTATGACAATGTGGAGATGGCTTTAGTTATGACAATGTGGAGATGGCTTTAGTTATGACAATGTGGAGATGGCTTTAGTTATGACAATGTGGAGATGACTTTAGTTATGACAATGTGGAGATGGCTTTAGTTGTGACAATGTGGCTTTAGTTATGACAATGTGGAGATGGCTTTAGTTGTGACAATGTGGCTTTAGTTATGACAATGTGGAGATGGCTTTAGTTGTGACAATGTGGAGATGGCTTTAGTTATGACAATGTGGAGATGGCTTTAGTTGTGACAATGTGGCTTTAGTTATGACAATGTGGAGATGGCTTTAGTTGTGACAATGTGGAGATGGCTTTAGTTGTGACAATGTGGAGATGGCTTTAGTTATGACAATGTGGAGATGGCTTTAGTTGTGACAATGTGGCTTTAGTTATGACAATGTGGAGATGGCTTTAGTTGTGACAATGTGGAGATGGCTTTAGTTGTGACAATGTGGAGATGGCTTTAGTTATGACAATGTGGAGATGACTTTAGTTGCGACAATGTTGAGATGACTTTAGTTATGACAATGTGGAGATGACTTTAGTTGTGACAATGTGGCTTTAGTTATGACAATGTGGAGATGGCTTTAGTTGTGACAATGTGGCTTTAGTTATGACAATGTGGAGATGACTTTAGTTATGACAATGTGGAGATGACTTTAGTTATGACAATGTGGAGATGGCTTTAGTTGTGACAATGTGGCTTTAGTTATGACAATGTGGAGATGACTTTAGTTATGACAATGTGGAGATGACTTTAGTTATGACAATGTGGAGATGGCTTTAGTTGTGACAATGTGGCTTTAGTTATGACAATGTGGAGATGGCTTTAGTTATGACAATGTGGAGATGGCTTTAGTTATGACAATGTGGAGATGACTTTAGTTGCGACAATGTTGAGATGACTTTAGTTATGACAATGTGGAGATGACTTTAGTTGTGACAATGTGGCTTTAGTTATGACAATGTGGAGATGGCTTTAGTTGTGACAATGTGGCTTTAGTTATGACAATGTGGAGATGACTTTAGTTGTGACAATGTGGCTTTAGTTATGACAATGTGGAGATGACTTTAGTTATGACAATGTGGAGATGGCTTTAGTTGTGACAATGTGGCTTTAGTTATGACAATGTGGAGATGGCTTTAGTTGTGACAATGTGGCTTTAGTTATGACAATGTGGAGATGGCTTTAGTTGTGACAATGTGGAGATGGCTTTAGTTGTGACAATGTGGAGATGGCTTTAGTTATGACAATGTGGAGATGTCTTTAGTTGTGACAATGTGGCTTTAGTTATGACAATGTGGAGATGGCTTTAGTTGTGACAATGTGGAGATGGCTTTAGTTGTGACAATGTGGAGATGGCTTTAGTTATGACAATGTGGAGATGTCTTTAGTTGTGACAATGTGGCTTTAGTTATGACAATGTGGAGATGGCTTTAGTTGTGACAATGTGGAGATGGCTTTAGTTGTGACAATGTGAAGATGACTTTAGTTATGACAATGTTGAGATGACTTTAGTTGTGACAATGTGGAGATGACTTTAGTTATGACAATGTTGAGATGACTTTAGTTATGACAATGTGGAGATGGCTTTAGTTATGACAATGTGGAGATGACTTTAGTTGTGGCAATGTGAAGATGACAACACTGTGGCGCTCACCTGTCTGAACTCCCGTGTGGCTGCAGGTAGGTCTGTCCTTAGTTTCTGGGGCACAAAGTGGTACACTCCGTCCATGGTGGACTGTGTGATTGGACCCACCATGGTGGGCTCGATGGCTTTCTCGATCAGTTGGTAGTACCTGACCACACACAAACATGCATTTCACATACCATGTACAAACTGCTTCCAATTAATGTGATGGACCTGGATGGATGGTTTTGTCAATAAACATATGTATACACACAAATGTACAAGCAACAGGGCATGGAGTCATCCCATAGATGACATCCTGACCCTGTCAGTATAGCAGGGTGTGGAGTCATCCCACAAATGACATCCTGACCCTGTCAGTATAGCAGGGCATGGAGTCATCCCACAGATGACATCCTTACCTTGTCAGTATAGCAGGGCTTGGAGTCATCCCACAAATGACATCCTGACCCTGTCAGTATAGCAGGGCGTGGAGTCATCCCACAGATGACATCCTTACCTTGTCAGTATAGCAGGGCTTGGAGTCATCCCACAAATGACATCCTGACCCTGTCAGTATAGCAGGGCATGGAGTCATCCCACAGATTACATCCTTACCTTGTCAGTATAGCAGGGCTTGGAGTCATCCCACAAATGACATCCTTACCTTGTCAGTATAGCAGGGCGTGGAGTCACCCTACAGATGACATCCTTACCTTGTCAGTATAACAGGGCTTGGAGTCATCCCACAGATGAAATCCATACCTTGTCAGTATAGCAGGGCTTGGAGTCATCCCACAGATGAAATCCATACCTTGTCAGTATAGCAGGGCTTGGAGTCATCCCACAGATGACATCCTTACCTTGTCAGTGTAGCAGGGCTTGGAGCCATCCCACAGATGACATCCTTACCCTGTCATTGTAGCAGGGCGTGGAGTCATCCTACAGATGACATCCTTACCTTGTCAGTATAGCAGGGCATGGAGTCATCCCACAGATGACATCCTTACCTTGTCAGTATAGCAGGGCTTGGAGTCATCCCACAAATGACATCCTTACCTTGTCAGTATAGCAGGGCATGGAGTCATCCCACAGATGACATCCTTACCTTGTCAGTGTAGCAGGGCTTGGAGTCATCCCACAAATGACATCCTTACCTTGTCAGTATAGCAGGGCATGGAGTCATCCCACAGATGAAATACATACCTTGTCAGTGTAGCAGGGCTTGGAGTCATCCTACAGATGACATCCTTACATTGTCAGTATAGCAGGGCATGGAGTCATCCCAAAGATGAAATACATACCTTGTCAGTGTAGCAGGGCTTGGAGTCATCCTACAGATGACATCCTTACATTGTCAGTATAGCAGGGCGTGGAGTCATCCCACAGATGACATCCTTGCCTTGTCACCTTACTGACGCTTTTAACCTCTTTGGTCATGTGGACAATGCCTGACCAGGAATCAGAAGGCTCATGGTTCGAATCCCATCATAGGACTCAGAAATGTTATGCCTGCTGTGACAGCTGTGATGGCTGTCACACAAAATCTGTCCCATAACGATTCCATAGCCAAGTATGTTGCAAGTAAACACATCTTGGCATCGAGCTGATAGAAATAGCATGGAATGGTTGATTGTGTGTTATCATACCCAAAATGCATGGATTATTGCTCTGGCTACCACTAGTTTCCTTTGTTATAATAAAACAAGGCAGGCCACTGTGAATAGTTTGAATATTGCTTGCGGCTGTGTTAGACTAACTTAACTGACCAAAGATGTTCTGGAACTGCAATACTATGCAGGGGATGAGCTCCAATCGTAGGGAGGGCATTAGAACATGTAGGGTCCTTGTACCACATGTTTATTTGAAAGTGTTACATATGGGTGCTGGTTGGCTGGTGAGTGTGGCATGCTTTAAGAATGTAAATACCAACAGGATACTGACTCAAGACACCTGATCTGGCGTGTCATACACCCTGACAATGAGGATCAGTGCTTACCTTCTTGACTGACAGTTTACCTGACTCAGCTAATATTTGCAGGATCAGGTGATATAGCTATGATGGGCTATAGAAAACTATCTAGATGCTCATTCATGTGATGTTGAATGTGCCTTAAGAACTGTATTGTCATTACATCATAATTTTGGAGGAAATGCCAGAGTGATGCAGGTCTTAGATATTTACACTAACATTGGCTTACGACAGTTGTAGTTCTATGATCACCTTGTGGAGTGAGGTTTCCATACAATTATTACCCACTGCTATAAGCATCGTGAACTGCACCAACAATTGTAATCAGGCTGAATCTTGGAATCTCACCGTCCCTCAAAGACATACATGGCATCATGCTGACCTACCTCTTTCTGTCTTCCGGTTCTGGAGTGCTTGGACGACTCAGTCCGTGAGTGGAGTGGAAAAATGGCGGGAATTCCACTTCTAGCACGTCTGCTTCTTCCTGAGTGTGCTCACAAGTAGGTCCCCAGTTCCCACCAAGGTTAAAGCCATTACTACTGAGTGTCCGATCATGATCTACAATTTCAAATTTCAAATTCAATAATCATGGACATACTCTGTCATGTCTTGTGGGTAGCTTGTTGAAAGTGTCTTGTTTGTTAAAAGTGTCCAGTGACTGGCTTGTTGAAAGTGTCTTCTAAAATGTAAGTGTCCAATGATTGGCTTGTTGAAAGTGTCTTGTGTGTTGAAAGTGTCAAGTGACTGGCTTGTTGAAAGTGTTTTGTTTGTTGTAAGTGTCCAGTGATTAGCTTGTTGAAAGTGTCTTGTTTGTTGTAAGTGTCCTGTGACTGGCTTGTTGAAAGTGTTTTGTTTGTTGTAAGTGTCCAGTGATTAGCTTGTTGAAAGTGTCTTGTTTGTTGTAAGTGTCCTGTGACTGGCTTGTTGAAAGTGTCTTGTTTGTTGTAAGTGTCCAGTGATAAGCTTGTTGAAAGTGTTTTGTTTGTTGTAAGTGTCCAGTGATAAGCTTGTTGAAAGTGTTTTGTTTGTTGTAAGTGTCCAGTGATAAGCTTGTTGAAAGTGTCTTGTGTGTTGTAAGTGTCCTGTGACTGGCTTGTTGAAAGTGTCTTGTTTGTTGTAAGTGTCCTGTGACTGGCTTGTTGAAAGTGTCTTGTTTGTTGTAAGTGTCCAGTGATAAGCTTGTTGAAAGTGTTTTGTTTGTTGTAAGTGTCCAGTGATAAGCTTGTTGAAAGTGTTTTGTTTGTTGTAAGTGTCCAGTGATAAGCTTGTTGAAAGTGTCTTGTGTGTTGTAAGTGTCCTGTGACTGGCTTGTTGAAAGTGTCTTGTTTGTTGTAAGTGTCCTGTGACTGGCTTGTTGAAAGTGTCTTGTTTGTTGTAAGTGTCCAGTGATAAGCTTGTTGAAAGTGTTTTGTTTGTTGTAAGTGTCCAGTGATAAGCTTGTTGAAAGTGTTTTGTTTGTTGTAAGTGTCCAGTGACTGGCTTGTTGAAAGTGTTTTGTTTGTTGTAAGTGTCCAGTGATAAGCTTGTTGAAAGTGTCTTGTGTGTTGTAAGTGTCCAGTGACTGGCTTGTTGAAAGTGTCTTGTCTGTTGTAAGTGTCCAGTGACTGGCTTGTTGAAAGTGTCTTGTTTGTTGTAAGTGTCTAGTGACTGGCTTGTTGAAAGTGTCTTGTTTGTTGTAAGTGTCAAGTGACTGGCTTGTTGAAAGTGTCTTGTTTGTTGTAAGTGTCCTGTGACTGGCTTGTTGAAAGTGTCTTGTGTGTTGAAAGTGTCCAGTGACTGGCTTGTTGAAAGTGTCTTGTTTGTTGTAAGTGTCTAGTGACTGGCTTGTTGAAAGTGTCTTGTGTGTTGTAAGTGTCCAGTGACTGGCTTGTTGAATGTGTCTTGTGTGTTGAAAGTGTCTCACCTTCTGCCAGTGTCTCTGGCACCGTGGGCATGTCATGGATGTACACGGATGGCGGACGACCACTGTCCACACTTCCCTCAAAGCTAATGGAGCTGTGTCTGGGGCTGATGGCACATGGATGCTGATTGGCTGTGTCCAGGTCAGGTGACGACTCATCAGCAGCCACAGTCTGGCTTTGATCTGTTGACCCTTGTAGTTAGATATAGGTTACAGTTAGAGGTAATTGCATACAAGGTATTAAGCTAGGGAACTAGAAACTAACAAACAAAGGAATAACAAACACACAATACATAAGATGTATCAGTTGTAAATACTCATTCTATTCTAAACCTTGACTCAGCCTTGTCTGCCTATGATTATTCCAGAGCAGAAAAGGCCCCTAGTACCCCATGATTCTCTCCATGACAATTCCAGAGCAGAAAACGCCCCCAGTACCCCATGCTTGTCTCCCCAGGTCAATTCCAGGGCAGAAAAGCCCCCTAGTACCCCATGATTTTCTCTCCATGACGATTCCAGGGCAGAAAAGGCCCCTAGTACCCCATGATTCTCTCCATGATGATTCCAGAGCAGAAAAGGCCCCTAGTACCCCATGATTCTCTCCATGATGATTCCAGAGCAGAAAAGGCCCCTAGTACCCCATGGTTTTCTCTCCATGGTGATTCCATAGCAGAAAAGGCCCCTAGTACAAAGAGGGAATCCAGGATTTGAAAAAAATGGTGGAGTCCACCGTTAGCATGTAAGGTGTCTGAAAAAAGGGGTGTGTGAACCCCTACATCCCCAATCTGGATCCGCCAGTGCTAGTACCCCTTGCTTGCCCTGAAAGTGGACTAAAGTAGGATACAGAGGCTGTAATGTGTGATCTTGCTGATTGTGTACCATCGCACCCCAAGTTGTGGATGGTTGCTCTTGCTATCAACCCCTGTTTTGCATGACCCAGATTCAAACAATACATGCTGTGATATAACAGGAATATAAAGATGCCGCTTAAACTTAAAATGTTTCTATGTGTCAATGCAGATTAGATGCAATCTGTAATTTCTTGTGAACCATGGCAGAATGTTTTCTGGAAGTCCTGTACCAGATAATTTGTCTGTCAGTTAATTCTGGCACTAACTTTTGTACCAGGGGGACTTTCATGCACAGTTTTGGACAGAAGTACAAGATAATTATATGAATTAAGTTCAGTTTCAAAACACACAGATTATTTAAAACAAACTGTGTGGTTCAATAAATTTGAAATTGTTTTGTTAAACTAGTGAATGCTTACCAGTCCAACTATCAATAAACATTGAAAACATTCTTTTCAAAATTGTATTTATGCTATGAGTATCACATTATAATAGAAAAATCGATGTGCCCCTTTTGCACATAATCTTCACATTTGTGAGAGTGATCACCTTCATATCCATGTCATATACACCGAGCCGTCAGATATAAGCCTTTGTTTACAGAAACCTATCTCAAGTTGAAACAAATCAATACAGCAATACACCCCACATAAAAAGGATATGTTTGAACAAAAGTTTTCTTGTCAAGTAATTGATTTTTATGATTTGGTGAGCGCTTTGTTGTCTCACGGCAGATCAAATTATACCGTTGTGTAAACTGTGATCTCGACTGACGGAGGGATTTTGTCCTGCGCCATGGTAGCAGAGAGTTTGGCATGATAGTGTTGACTCTAGCCAAGAGACACTACTCATCTAGGGTGAACTGGCAGTTTAATCAGGGTATCTCTTCTGGCAATGTACCCTAGGGCAGAACGTGTCCCCCACCCAATACTGATCTCAATTGCTGGTGATTGTACAACCACGCAGGAGAACTAGTGGGGGGACAAGTCAGGGAGACCAGGGTGACCATTTAGCAGGACTGATGGGGGACCACTTGGTGGGACTGATGGAGGACCATTTGGTGGTACTGTGGCGGACCACTTGGTGGGACTGATGGAGGACCACTCGGACTGGTGGAGGACCACTTGGTGGGACTGATGGAGGACCACTTGGTGGACTGATGGATGACCACTTGGTAGACTGATGGAGGACCACTTGGTGGGACTGAGGGAGGACCATTTGGTGGGACTGAGGGAGGACCATTTGGTGGTACTGTGGCGGACCACTTGGTGGGACTGATGGAGGACCACTTGGTGGGACCGATGGAGGACCACTCGGACTGGTGGAGGACCACTTGGTGGGACTGATGGAGGACCACTTGGTGGACTGATGGACGACCACTTGGAAGACTGATGGAGGACCACTTGGTGGGACTGAGGGAGGACCATTTGGTGGGACTGAGGGAGGACCATTTGTTGGTACTGTGGCGGACCACTTGGTGGGACTGATGGAGGACCACTTGGTGGGACTGATGGAGGACCACTTGGTGGGACTGATGGAGGACCACTTGGTGGGATTGATGGAGGACCACTCGGTGGACTGATGGAGGACCACTCGGTGGGACTGATGGAGGACCACTCGGTGGGACTGATGGAGGACCACTTGGTGGACTGATGGAGGACCACTTGGTGGACTGATGGAGGACCACTTGGTGGGACTGATGGAGGACCACTCGGTGGGACTGATGGAGGACCACTTGGTGGACTGATGGAGGACCACTTGGTGGGATTGATGGAGGACCACTCGGTGGGACTGATGGAGGACCACTCTGTGGGACTGATGGAGGACCACTTGGTGGGACTGATGGAGGACCACTCGGTGGGACTGATGGAGGACCACTCGGTGGGACTGATGGAGGACCACTCGGTGGGACTGATGGAGGACCACTCGGTGGGACTGATGGAGGACCACTTGGTGGGATGGAGGACCACTTGGTGGGACTGGTGGAGGACCACTCGGTGGGACTGATGGAGGACCACTCGGTGGGACTGATGGAGGACCACTCAGGAAGACTGAGGAAAGCCACTTGGTGGGACTGAGGGAGGACCACTTGGTGGGACTGGTGGAGGACCATTTGGTGGGACTGATGGAGGACCACTTGGTGGGACTGATGCAGGACCACTCAGGAAGACTGAGGAAGGCCACTTTGAATCAAACATAGGAATAAAAACATGTCTAAAGATTATTCCTGACAACATTGGAGTACTCTCATATTCTCATATTTCAATATTGTACAAGAGTACACGCTTACAATGAACTGAAGGACATAACGAACTGTTTTTTTGTCCTGGGCTATTTGCTGTATATATGCAGTAGATATGCTTAAAATGAACTACGGTTAACACAAACTAAAACTAATGGATTATGGCCTTGCTTACTGATTCTCAGCTAGGCTACTGCTGATTGACACTAAGTGAATGGACTACAAGTATTGACAATGATGGTTTGTTTTTGGCTCCCTAGGCCAGCCTATCGGGCATCAGCAGGTGTCAGGTCGCTTGTCTTGCTTGCTCACAGTGTTTTGAGAAATAGCCTTTCTTCAATACCCAGTTAACAGTGAGTTGATAAAAAAACATTCACATCAATATTGTCAGTCCCATTCATTGCCAATTAGAGTGAGTGAGTGAGTGAGTTTGGTTTAACGCCGCTTTAAACAGTATTCCAGTTATATCGCGGCGTGTCAGCTTAATGTGTGAGGAAAGCCCGAAGTGATGCAGGTCACAGACTTTTACCACTTCGGTGAAACCCATGGGCACGGGTATGGTGCTGACAAACCTAGAAACATAATCGGGGCGAACCGGGATTCGAACCCATAATCATAGATTTCTGGTGTGCCCAAGGGCCGCAACTCTGCACAGCGAATCGCGGCGCCTTAGACGACTGCCCCCTGCCAATTAGAAAAGCCTGACCAATTGAAGAAATGGTCCCTCTCAAATGCTCTATATGTTGTGTATTTTCTTGCATCATTTCCATGACCTTACTCTGAAAGCCATAGTGTCATTGAGCTAGACTGAAAGTAGTTCTGTAATAGAGCAATACTTCACATGAGTGAAATATCAAGTTCACATTTGGAGATAAATTTAGTATTTTATCTCGAAATACCTAATAATTATTTATTGCTGCAACTTCTTCTACTCACCATTCTGCATACTCCCGATGTAATCCACTTCACTTGGGGCAACAGCGGAAAAACCATTGATAGGTGGCAACAGTGTCTGACCTTTGAACTCTTTGTGGTTAGTGGTGGGAAGACGATCAGTTTGGCAGCCATCTTGGTGAATGTTGTAGGGAGGCAAACTAACATCGAGAAGGCCAGCTGAACTGAATTGAAAAATTGTTGCTAATGAATTTCAAAACCAAAACATCTTTAAGTGGCATTTTAGAAGCCGTAGCATCAATGAAGTGGTGGCCTATTAATTTCAACTTCTTTGTTCTTTCTATGTGTAGCAGGGCGTGGAGTCGTCCCACATGCAGATGACATCCTTACCTTGTCAGCTTGCTGACGAGGTTAACCTCTTTGGTCATGTGGACAAGGCGTCCGACCTCGGATCAGAAGGTCCGTGGTTCGAATCCAATCACGGGACTCGAAAATTTTATGGCCGCTACATTGGTGCCCAACGTGGGGCTGAGCGCGTTCATATTAAATTTGAGCAAAATAAGCCTCAGCACACTACTATGCAGCCGGGACGTGCCTTCTGTTGATGGGGGAGTATGTAGCAGGGCGTGGAGTCGTCCCACAGATGACATCCTTACCTTGTCAGCTTGCTGACGGAGGTTAACCCCTTTGGTCATGTGGACAAGGCGTCCGACCTCGGATCAGAAGGTCCGTGGTTCGAATTCCATCATGGGACTCGGACATTTTATGGCCGCTACATTGGCGCCCAACGTGGGGCTGAGCACGTTCATATTAAATTTGAGCAAAATAAGCCTCAGCACACTACTATGCAGCCCGGGATGTGCCTTCTGTTGATGGGGGAGTATGTAGCAGGGCGTGGAGTCATCCCACAGATGACATCCTTACCTTGTCAGCTTGCTGACGGAGGTTAACCCCTTTGGTCATGTGGACAAGGCGTCCGACCTCGGATCAGAAGGTCCGTGATTCGAATTCCATCATGGGACTCAGACATTTTATGGCCACTACATATGCAAATTTTTAAGTTTCAGGGCAGGTGTTAGAACTTTTTTATCAAGTAACACCTGTCACGAAACGACAAAATTCATGTGAGAACTCAGTCTCTTTCAGAACCAAACTGAATTCAGTATCATATCCTGTAATATGATTTGCACTTGAACACACAATTAGGATAATTATTTATTTTTGTTAATTCGAATTGAATATTGAGCCCAGCATTTTGAGAAGAGTGAGTGATTGAGCTCAATTCCACAATGAACAGTACCTGGTATTTCAGTTACAACACAGCACATCAGTGAGTGAGTGAGTTTTATTTTACGCCGCTTTTAGCAATATTCCAGCAATATCACAGCGGGGGACACAAGAAATGGGCTTCACTCATTGTACCCATGTCGGGAATCGAACCAGGATTTTCGGCTTGACGCGTGAACGCTTTAACCACTAGGCTCCCCGACCCCCCTCACAGCACATCAGCTTGATGTGAGAGGCAAGCCTGATGTGATTGAGATCTGCCCATGTAAAACCACTTTTCTAAAACCTTCAGGCAGGGGTATGCTGCTGACAAACCAAGGGACATAATCAGTGTGGACCAGGAATCAAACACAGAACTGATGATCAATCATCTGTTTGTCATACTCACTGTCTCCGGTACTCTATTCCATTGACTTCCTCTGGACATGGAGATTTACGGACAGCTGGTTTCCGTGGTGATAAAAAATATGTTTCCTCTACAGAATAAGCTGAAAAGTATATGTTCAAAATTTTAGGATGTTTGGAGATTTATAGTACGGCAGATGGTTTAGAATATGCAAAGAAGTATCATGACAATTCTGCCTGTGATGGGATACCTACATTACCCACACACTAGGGGAATTAACATGTACAACAAACATAACATATTCCACTCAACATTTGGTTGGGTATATGGAGATAGGGACTCATCAACAGCAAGCAAGCAAGCAAGCTCTTCACAGTATTAAAGAAGTTGTTATCCATAAAAATTGTGTCTATCTTGTCATCTGTCAACTTCTAAGTAATGCCTATCAAACAAAATAGCAAGCATGTATGTACTACTGTAAATCATAAAATTAATGTGCGCATTAAAAAAGTGAGCTTTAATAAAGTGATACATTTTTATCTGGAGTTTATTGTCATGTCAGGTTCACTGACATCCTGGAAGAAGGACAATCATAACAAGCTCCCAATAAACAATGTACCGTATTCGACGTAATAAACGCCCAGGGCGCTCTCAAAATTAGAAATAGGGGGCTCTTATTGGAATATAATTTTGGTGAGAAAAACAGAATTGAAAGATAAATTTCATGGTTTATGCTGACAGCCTGAAATGTTTTTGTACGACAGATATATTTTTCCAGAATTTAATTGCCCATAATTAAGGGTGCATTTAACACACGAGTGCGTATTATACGAGAATATATAAGTCTGGTGTACATTGGGATGTAAGGGGTGCTAATTGGGATTGTTCACTAGCCAATATCTTTGCAAATGTCGTCGTGGGCGCTTATTAGAGCGGGGCGCTTATTACGTCGAGTTGAAAGATCGTAAATTTCATGGTTTATGCTGACAGCTCGAAATGATACAAAAGAAAAGTATGTGCATATTAAACATGACAGATATATTTTCCAGAATTTAATTGCCCATAATTAAGGGTGCATATAACACATGAGTGCATATTATACACAAATAAATAAGTCTTGTGTCTTGATCAATCGGAAGGGTGCTAACTTGGATTTCACTAGCCAATATGTTAGCAAATATCGCCGTGGGCGCTTATTAGGGCGGAGCGCGTATTACATCGAATACGGTAGTTGAGCACTGGATTTAGTGCTTCATCACGGAGTTCTGTATTTGTGTCACATGTAGTGAAAATGTCCAGTAGAGTTACAGCAGTCATGGTGAACACAAGACAGTGCTCATGTACGATCAAAGAACTTGTGTAACAACATAGGCAGATCCAGGGTGGGGGTCCAAGGGGTTCGGACCCCCCCCTCCCCCCCTTTTGAAAACCAAATGTAGTAGAGGAAAATTTTGGTATTTTGAAACCCCTCCTTTTTAAAAATGCTGGATCTGCCCTTGTGTAACAATACATAGGACCTTTTACAATCTTTGTCAGTTGATCTGACCTATTTCATTTGAATATGACTTATTTCATTTTTTAATTTCCTGCTTTTAATTTCCAGGCATGAGGAGAAGAGGGAGAAGTTTTTACACTATACCTACTGTAACGGCTTGGTGGGTTTGGTTGGGGCAGAGGGGCAATCAGCAGCTCATTTATAAATTGGGTTTATGGATCTACCATCTACACCACAATAACTATTCCCTTTTCCATGATTAAATAATTTTGGCTCGAGGATACGGTTGGTTGAAAGTTGAGAATTACATTCCACCAGTGACAGATGTTATTTTTTTACGTAGTGTCGCAAAGATATAAGAATATACAATGCATTTTGATACCCTAATTGCAACATGTGTAGCCCTACAAGGCAGATTTAAGCCATTATGCTACAATAAGTAGTGCATGGAACAGAATCACGAAATATAGGTGACGTCACACGAAGTATCGCATTGCCAAATCGAAACAGGTGATTTTGAACGTATCAATCTCATTAAAAACAGATCTTAGTTTTCGCTACCGCTAAACAAAGATCTGAGGACATCCCTTTAAGGTTCACGTCAGAACGACCTTTCGCGAACTTTGACCGATCAATGAAATGACTGACAAGAAATGGACACTAGCCAATCAGAAAGCAGGTTTCTCGAGCTTTACAACACTAGTTTCAAATTGGCGACTACACTTCGAAACATATTTTGATGTACCGGTATTCTCGATTAGAATTTTTAAAACTGATAAAGATAACATTCTGGAATGGCTTACAGATGGCCTATATTGTATGGATATAATCATAAAACCCATAACTGTCGCTCGCAATACCCCATGTTAAATATTTCGAGGTTGCATGATTAGAAACTTTCATGATCTGGTAAGCGACGCTCTGATTGGTTGGATGAAAGGTCGTTCTGACGTGACCCGTAATGGGATGTCCTCAGATCTTTGTTTAGCAATAGGGAGAACTAAGATCTGATTTTAATGAGATTGTGAACGTATTTACATTTTGTTTTTGCACTTTAAACAGTCAGTGAGATCAGTGGTGATATATGTTAATTTATGTAGCAAAAACGTATACGTTCACAGTTGTATGCTGAACTGCATACAACATGTACAATATGACTCATTAATTTCATGGTTTACAGGATTTCAGGATAGGGCTGGGACGGGTAGCTCGGGTAGTCAGGTCGGGTGGGTCCTGAGTAGGACCCAGGTACCAGGACTACCCGGACCCGTGGTTAGTTTTGTGATATATTGTTTTATGACAAAAATTCACTATATAACTACATGGTTACACGACAATTTTAAGTCTCTTATGTTTGCATTTCTTCATGAATATTGTAGACTTAAGACCATTGTTGGTTTAAGGGCACAACAGACGTTCCTTCTGACTTTCATATGTTTGAATAAAGCTAAAACTTCAGTCAACTTCAGTGTATGCATGGCCACATTGTTTTATATGTGTATCTAAATACATTTTGCCAGGGCTACTGTCAAACTATTCCCAATCTCTTGACACCAACAGTGGGTACCCCGGTAGTGTCAGATAATAGGGGTGTGGGTACCCGGGTAGTAAATTTGGACTAGTCCCAGCCCTATTTCAGGAATAACGTATGAGATATGAGGAATTACAGATTATCTTTCCCTAGTAGCAAGTAGGTTATTCTATATATACAACCCAACATCTGACTGGGATATTCAGAGCGTGGGACCTTGAAAGTGTGTGATTGGCTGTTTGGAGATGGTGTCATACAAATAGTATCCCATGTTGCCATGCAACTGGAGCAAGTTCAGTTACTGAGTTAATAAAAGTAAGTACATGGTTCAGGTACACCAGTTGCCATGTCTTCTAGTTACATAACTGTATGAAATAGCCCCGTATCCCTCTCAAACGTTAAGTGGTATATTACTGATAGTGTTGAAAATGTAGTCAAATGTTTTTCCCAATCACAGATTGTGACATGAACTCAGTCATACTACTGATGGAACTGTCAAATATAACCATCTGTGACATCATGAACAATGGATGATGTCATCGTTTATCAGTGCATCTTCCTGAGGCAAGGGAGTTAACTGATTATGTAAGTCCAGTTTACACCCTTGCTGAACTAGGCAGGAATTTCTGGGTTTGATCATAGTGACACCAGTGGATAGTACGAGTTATGTCCCTTCTATGTCCTTCCAACTGACCATTCAGATTCCATCTTTCATATCACTTGCATTCGCTTCAAACAAAATGGCAGCGCCCAATCAAGACAATGTGATCGATAGTCAAGGTCTATATTGTAATGAAATGGGTCTCGCGAAGTGCATCAAATCACTTGAGCAGCTTGATTAAGAACATAAAAAGATTTGCAAAATATCTGTCAATGCCTAGTTTGCAGTACACATGCTTTGCAAATTCTGCAGTCGATCTCAAATTTGAAATCCATGTTGTTTGCGAACAACATGTTAAGTTCTGTGGACGATGCATAGACTCGTTAGTCCAGCCAAAATGTAACTCCGGAATTCTGGCCTAGTTCGGCAAGGGGGGAAACTGGACTTTAATAATTATAGTCAGTTAACGCCCTTGACTCGGGAAGATGTAATTAGTGACAATGCATTACCATTACGACTGCCCGCTTCACAAACGGGAACCATCAGTGTGAACTAGCCAGTCAGCATTTTTAGCAAACATTTATTGCTCAGTGAAAGTAATTGCACAGATATTGCTACCCATATGGCTAATGTGATGTAATAATAGGAAAATCCTTATAAAATTTGCAAAAGACACCCCAGATTGATATGTCAATCATCTGTCTTTTCATAATTCTCAAGCATGGTACCTAGTTTGGTTGTTTCGTAGATGACTGACGCTGTCAGGTGACGGGCGCTGGGGCTGTAGTTGTTGCCGATAGAGTCGCTCACTTTTCGGAAATGCCTTTTCTCTTTGATTGGTGCAGCTTTTGTGAAGGAGCCTCTTTCTAGAATTTTCGGCCGTTCACTGAAGGCAGGCTGTAAACACAATCATAAACGGCATATACAGATTATGTTCAAACAAACATACTTCAACAAAGATCACAATAATAACATGTCTCTTATCAAACGTATGACATTCAGAAACCTTAGACTTAGGTCTATTGTTTTGTATGTATATTCTGGAAATTAATTTAAGGTTCCGACGTTTACTACAATATCTGAAAAACTATTGGACCTACTCCAGTCAAAGTTGGTATGAGATTATTAAACAGTCATACATAACTGGATATTACATTTAAAGACAATCGGTGCATGAATAAAAAATCTGTCTATTTAGCTGTCACTATATTTCATCAACAACCAGACCTGTTCGTCACGGGTGGAACGAGCATTCATTGTAACAGCCATCTGCATAATGCTACCCCTGCGGCACAGGGCCGTATGACACAGTTGAACCAATCAACTCAACCCGTAAGGGTGCACGGGAATCACGCACGCACGGAATACGGTCTTAGCGTTGGGCGTCTCAACATGTGTGATTCCCGTGCACCCTTTTGAGTTGAGTTGATTGGTTCAACTGTGTCATATGGCCCTAATTAAATATACCAACTTTGACTGGAGTAGGTCTGATAGTTTTTCAGATATTGTAGATATTACCTTCCAGACTATACACTGCTATGATGGAATAAATTCCAGTCTATGAAATGTCTGTCTGCTGATTAGAGGGAGGTACATACAAAAGCGTTATTAACCTGTCCCTCTACAATAGGCTTAGGGATGGTGGAGTAGTCTAGTGGTTAAAGCATTCGCTTGTCACGCCGAAGACCTGGTTCGATTCCCTACATGGGTACAATGTGTGAAATCCTTTTCTGGTCTCCCCCGCTGTGATATTGCTGTAATATTTCTACAAGTGGCGTAAAACCATACCCACTCACTCTAATAGGCTTACATAAGTGGTTTATTAACCTGTAAACAGTTAAACCTGTTTATTAAGCAGTAAACCTTGTAATGACTGTAGTAACATACATCTACATACATTTAAAGACATACATACATATACAGAGAGGCTATCACACGAGAGTGTTTGAAGATGGTAAATATCCTGCATAAGGAATAAACATTTTATTTAGCGACCTTTGGCGAACACACAAGCTTGATAACCGCTTTGTCATATAATGTCATTCTTCAATTCTGTGCTCAAAAAAATCTCTTCCCGACTCTAACAAACATAACACTTGAAGTTTTCCTGGAATGTGTGCATTAATATATATTCTGTCAGAAGGTGTGTGATGTGTCAGTCGGACAGTGACAACAGTCAATATAGTTCCAACTGAAACCTGTTTCTTATACAGTGGCGTAACTAAATATGGGCAAAACAACTATTGTCAAATTGTTTCTACTTGCCTTCCGCGGAAATCCATCAGTGTGTCTGCTAGAGTAACTGCCCTTTATCAAAGGGAAGCTACTCTAACCCTAGTCTATGAGATTTGTCAGGTTTGTTTAGAGTCTACCATATTTCGGCTAAATCCAACTGTTTTTACTTGGGGTAATTCTGACTTGATCGCCAAATGACGACACCATTTTTGTTTGTAAACACTGAAGTAGTCCCTACTTGACCTTTAATATTTGCATCTCTATCTGCATATGACCCCAAGGGATATTGTTTTTAACCTTCCCACGATATGATAGTGAGTGAGTTGGGTTTAACGCCGCTTTTAACATTATTCCAGTTATATTACGGTGGGTCAGCTTAATGTGGGAGGAAAGCCTGAAGTGATGCAGGTCTCAGATGTTTACCACTTCGGTGAAACCCACAGCACGGGTATGGTGCTGACAAACCTAGAAACATAATCGGGGCGAACCAGGATTCGAACCCACGACCATAGGTTTCTGGCATGCCCAACGGACGCAACTCTGCACAGCGAATAGCGGCACGTTATATCTATATATATATGTCTTTGATACAATACAGTAAATGAACATGTGGCCTAGGCAGAATGCCGGGGCGGTGATATGTTTGATGATGCTCTCCCCTCAGTCATGTTTGCGGATGTGGAAGGGAGGGGTAATAAAAAACATCTTCAATTCTACTGCAATAGTGTAACAATAGAGTTTTTCACTTTTTACTATCACTATTCTACTGTTTTTCACTACCACTATTCTATTGCAATAGCTGTACTCATATTGCAATACCCAGTAGTATAACAATAGAGTTTTCTCACTTTTTACTATCACCATTCTACTGTAATCACTATCACTATTCTATTGCAATAGTTGTACTCATATTGCAATACCCAGTAGTATAACAATAGAGTTTTTTCACTTTTTATTATCATTATTATACTGTTTTTCACTACCACTATTCCATTGCAATAGTTGTACTCATATTGCAATACCCAGTAGTGTAACAATGGAGTTTTTTTAACTTTTTACTATCACTATTCTATTGCAATAGATGTACCTATATTGCAATATCCGTAGATCAAAACAATTCAATTTCTGTAATGTATAGTCAAATCCACTTACTCCTGGTCTAACTGAATCACAAATTTGTGAAATTGTTCAAACAGTAAACAAGCCATTAATCCACCAGATAAAGTCACTGAGGACAAAAATGAAACATCGTGGAATAAATTAATCACCGATAATAAATCAGAAAACGTAATTAAAATAATCAAAATATCCAGTTTCATTTTAAGCATAATTGACCGAGGTGTTTTTGACATTAGTTATGCATACATTGCATGCCACTAGGCATTAAAAGCCCTGCTCCACCAACCACACCATGGGCACTAACAGTACACACACTGACAGGCAGGACGTACTCAAATAGCACCGAGGCGATCAGGACCTTCAGTCCAACATAAACACGCATGCAGTAGTTCAGAATTAGTTTCCAATGCGATCAACTCTCATTAAAAGGGGAAGTCAGGCAGCTAAATTGTTTACTGTTGTTTGTGGCTGTGATATGGCCTTGATATGTCTGTATTGGCAATCATTAGTCTGTCATTCGATACTCACAGGTATATGGAGCTTGGAGAGGCTCTAGGTGCACTCGGTATCATACCGGTGGGAATCCATTACCAATAGAGTAGTTAAAAGTTACCATGTAATCTATAAAACTTGTTGCTTCACTGTGAAGAATTGCACTGTTACAAGTAAATCCATTTCATAAGATCCAACATTAATGTCCATGTTGGTAGTATTTTGTTATCCGTGCTTTTTTTTTCTCTTTAAGGCCAGACCATTTTTTTCTTGTGTTACAGATCCCTGATTTTCCCCTTAATTTCAAAAAAAAGAAAAAGAAAAAAAAGCAAGAAAAAAAAGCACTTTTTTTAATAAATGGCCAACATCACCAAAATGGCAGTTTCAATGGAAGGGAAGCAACTCTTCCACAATGGTCACTTGCCATCGGCAGGAGTGTAAATAAATTCATTAGATGACTGCTGCATCTCTGGGATTCAAATGACTTTTATACCGGTAACTGAACGTGGCGCCTAGTCGATTCCAGTTGTGGTGTGTGGATCTGTTGTTGTTAGTGCTTCTCCTACGGTTTTGTACAATGTGGACAAAGTGCTTAAGCCCAACGGTCAACAAACAGGTCAGCTTTCTAATTACGAAGATAGCTGGAATGAAGCTGATCGACTGACACAGTTGTGGATTTGTCATTGCCAGTCATTGCCTGTCATGACCACATGGTCAAACTGGACTTTTAGAGTCAGTTAACTCTCTTGCATTGAGAAGATGGTCGATCACTGCAGGATAAGATCTCCAATTATCAATCAAGAAGTCATATTTACTATCATATGGTATACTGGATTTTATTTTCAATCATGTTGTAATAAAAAATACACAAAACAATTTATTTTTTATTTTATTTCAATCAAGAAAGAAAAAAAACTTCCCTTTATGAAATAAATGAATTTGATATTTGAAATATGAATAACTGTGACAATTAATTAGGGATAACATGTACGTAGAAACAAGAATGTCCAATCAAGTGTGCCAATCAGCCCTGAAATAGAATTGTTTGATATTATACATCTGAGAATGTATTGAATCAACGCTAACGTGGTTAGGTGGAATAATTTAATTACCAGTATTAATAAGCTGAAAATACTCCCCAGGAGTCGGATATTGCCTCCCACATGGTATTTTCCTAACAACACATAGCCGGATTGTGCTTATTTCCACACCACTGCTCACATTATTGATACAAGTAACAAAAGAAAGATGTTTCCGTACAACAATTATTGTTGTCCAATATTGCTTGGGATATTTTCAGAATAAATTTGATTGATGGGACATTCATGATATTCAGTGTCATCACAAAAAGAAACTAACAATGGATCTGATTCAACAAGCTGATAGTTACTTTTAGATTTGCATCTCTCACGTTTGATCAGTCGTATTTACGATGTTGTTTTTAAGATGGCTAAGGCTGGAGCATGTATTATAGAAGCAATGAATGTCTCCCTATCAGTTACAGTATGGACTGTGGACTGCCACTAAGGCTTTACATTTATTGCAGTTGGTTTATGAGACAGACTGACAAAAAAATCTGAAAATCAAAAAAAAGAAAAAGAAAGACTTTTGACATTTATTTTTGGTCCGACACCACAGTTCATAGGAAATGGTGAATAATTTCCGAATAAAAATCATTATTCTAACAAAAATTATAATTAATTATATTTTGGTATCTTGCCATCTTCATTAGTAGCAGTACGAATCTGGAGTTTTGACCTATATTTGAGGGCAGGGGTGGCCCAGTCATCTAAGGCAGTGCAATTCGCTGTGCAGAGTTGCGTCCCTTGGGCACGCCAGAAACCTATGATTGTGGGTTCGAATCACGGTTCGCCCCGATTATGTTTCTTGGTTTGTCAGCACCATACCCGTGCTCATGGGTTTCACCAAAGTGGTAAACGTCTGAGACCTGCATCACTTCGGGCTTTCCTCACACATTAAGCTGACACGCCGTGATATAACTGGAATACTGTTTAAAGCAGCGTTAAACACACCTCACTCACCTCCTATAT